ATGCTCTCCATCCGACTGTAATCCATCGAAGGTCGAACTTCCGTTTGATTCAACTTTTTTTTTCATAAGAATATTCTCTACTGAAGGACACAACTACGTGAAGTATGATATAAGTTATTCATTTACTTGTCAAAGACATCGACACATATGCAATTGAAATTCACAGAATAAATAAACATCATTCTGCGATTTCATTGTATGAAGAAGGGAGCAGGAACCTTCCGTTTCTTTTTCGCATTCTTCAATTTGACCAAAAGGAAATATTTTCATTTTCAATTCGTTTCTACCACGTACACCTACCACACACAACCTTATCCGACGAATGATCTGTGTCAATGTCGTCAACATTAGATGTGGCATGTGTACCAATGTTTTTCTCTCTTTAGCTTTCATATAATTCTCGTTCGATTCTTGTAGAATTCAATTCAACATTCCTTTGAGACTGCTTCAATTCGAACTAGTCAATCTTCATCGGTATGTCACTGGATATGAACAAAAGTGTTCAAAACGCTCTTTTTATAGAATTATAAAACATACATTTCGTCTTCATCGATATCATTCGAAGCCGAAAGTCATAGTACTTCTGAAGGTATACCAACGGATTCTTGGGTATGATTAGTATCGATAGAATGAATGGTTGTTTTCATGGATTGCTTTTAGCTGATCGATTTAGAATCGAAACTTTCCAACGATGCAGTCTATGATGAGTTTAACTCGATTCCATCTTGTCGTTTGAATCGCTTCAACGAAGACGGACAACAATCCGAGAATTCATATCGAAATCGTTACATCGACGTGATCCCATACAATGACACACGTGTGCGATTGATCCCAACACGTGATAATCCCTATGGTTATATCAACGCCTCACATGTCAAAGTCTGTACACTTTGCTTGTTTTTCGTTTCGTGTCTATTCTCGTCATTAGTTTGGTATTGAAAATACGGTTTACTCTTACATAGCCACAGAGTTTCCGCTGTTGTTAACAATAGCGGACTTCTGGCGAATGATATTTGATTATAATGTACGTGTGATTGTTATGCTTCTTGGTGATAATGAAATTCAATTAGGTACAAATTACTTTCCAAAGATCAAAGATAGAAAATATCGAACAGAGCATTTTGAAATCGAACTAATTTCCGAGAAGAATCATCGCGATTTTTATCTTCGTCAACTGGCGATTAAAAATCTTCATGGACATGAAACACGATCAATCGTTCATTTACAATACTCGATTTGGAATCAAAAGCAATTACCGTTAGATACACTTTCATTCCTGAGTATACTATTTACTTTTTTCGAATTCTTTCACATTCGATCATTCTAGAATTCATTAATCTTGTTGATTCATTTCGACGACATTATGGTGAAACATTGCCATGTGTAATTCATTGTACTGCTGGGTAAGCAGAAATTGTTGAGCGAAATTGTTCGTTGAAAAACTCGTTTTAGAATTGGTCGTACGGGAATGTTTATTCTCCTTCATCTTATGATTCAATGTATAACATTTAACAAAGTAAGTTTCGTGCAATTCTCTTCGCCGACTCCTTCGTTTTCTTGTTTTCTCTAGAAAAGCAGCGTCGCAAATGTTTTAAAAGTCATGCGTGAATACCGTATGTCGTTCGTCGATCGAACCCATTTCTATATCTTTGTTTATCGCTGCCTGATTGATTATCTGAAATCTTCTCGACTTATCTAATACTAAGTTTTCCATTGAATTAGATTTATATTAAACAACGACTTTTGACTTTAGGAAAGGGATTTTTTTTGAGAATAAACGTGCGGCATTTACATTCCTATTCCCAGAGTCGACGTGCTAACGCGTATGAAAGCAATTTTCAGATTAATCTTATCTGTTGTTTTTAGTTATGTAATAATCATAATAAAATTTTTTGCCGGCACATCGTTTTCATAGAACAAAATTCTATCAAGTACAATGCCTTCGTTCAATGAAAGACAAAAACTCGAATAAAATCAGGCGATAGGAAATGTGTTGCTAGGTCATCGTGCCAAGTTTGCGACGATATTGAAATAGGAGACTATTGCAAATCGATTATTAGCTTATCCATTTATTATTTCCGCTCCAATATGCCAAACCAATCAAGAAAATCAGATAGCATCTATAAATGGAAAACGTTTTTCTCAATGGAATTTCGTCGATTCTTTCAAGCGACGAAATCATTCATCGTCTGCAAAAAATCAATTGATTGATTTAGAAAACATCGTCTCGATGAAGTCGTGCATGATACATTGTTGATCATCAAATCATATTTTCCGTCATATGCGACAAAATAAGCGAAATCGGGACTACAAATTGGCTTAGGACGTCGGTACATGAATTCCATAGTTCCCACCAGTACTTAACACTCTAGGAGATACACATCTAATAAAAAGTCACTGTGATCGATTAAGTTCTGATCTAAAGCATAATAACAACATCAATGAGTTGTTTTCGATCAATTATCTTCGAAGGTTATGTGTACCAAAACGTCTAGTGTACAAATGATTTTTTTCTCGGGTTAACGAGACTTTAATTTCAAGCAAGATAAATAGCTATCAAAAAGGCATATGTATGTAATTAGGGCGTAACTCAGATCATGAGATATCATTCTTTACCAACGTATACTTTAGGTAAGAGAGAAATAGAATGCAGCTGTGTTGTTTACTCATAGATAATCTTGGAGTGAAGTGCTTAAACATAATGATCCAAAATAGAGACTTAATAGAATCATCAATCATCTTGCTAAGTTATTGTACAGCCTTGAGTATATTACACAACAGAGCAATAGAGTCATGCAGCTTAGAAGAGCCCATCCTGACATACGATTAGCGCTCGTTATAGGTTATGAACAAATTTCATGCTAATTGATCAATAATTACGAAGGAAATTTAGATGATTAGATTTCATTATCAATAATGGCTTTTTTTCTCTTTCCTACTAGAAAAAAGAAATATGCCAGATATGAATTACTTTTTTTTCTGTCATATCTAGTTTCTTTCTCATATTTTGCTTTGCAAAACCAAGCGAACGACTCTCTGTGATAAAATCCTAATCCACTGCGATTCTCATTTGTTCTGTGTTATGACACAGACATATTCATATAAAAAAGTAATGATTGAATCTCACTGAAAACAAAGCATGTGCATTGAGAGTCACTTTCTCGTTTTCTTCTCTTTTTTTATGTTACCTATCTAAATTAATCGATGAAGGTCGAGTATCCATTCATTGACAACAATAAATCGTGAATGTATCTGACTGAATATAATCGAACGTCGAACAAAAGACTTAATACAATCCATCATTTTCTATTGTACATCATTATCTCTTATCAATAAAAAAAAACGAAGAAATATGTATGAAACGTGGATTCAACAGATGAATAATATCAGAGAAACCTTGTCTGATTCATTGAAAGATATATCCGAATCGTTTATTATTTAGATCATGTGTTATGCTTAGAAATAGATGTGTTGACGTTGAAAAAGAGATATAATATGTGTTGATATCTTCTCATATCAGAAGTTGGCTTGAATATCTCCCATTTATATTTATATATATATTTGTGTGTGTGTGTGTGTGTGTGTGTATACATATGAGTACCGCCCATCATATTCCATCTTATATTACTATCGAAGCAAATAACTGTCTGCCAATGAAAAGACAACATGATGATAGATATATATATATATCTTCCCTCTCGGTCATAGGATACATTGTAGAATATAACAGGAACAGAAGAAGATCTCATCTGTACTTATTAACCTGTCACAATCATGATGATAATAACAAGGCAGGTCGTACATGCAAAGATTGTGATATGATAAGTTATTGAAGCAAACAAGCTTCGAACTGAAAGCTCATAAAGTGTAGAATGCAATCTTAACAGCGCATGTCTAGCGTAGACACGTGCCTGCTCAATGTGTTAAGAAGGTAGCATAATTAGTCGGATTTATTCTTCCACTAGCGTTGCAGGAGAAAGAACAACGCAACTAGGTGGATTGTGATGCATGTCCTCAATTACGTATGAAGAAATGATCGCGAGCTTTTTAGTTTATTACCAACGGACATACTTTACTTCGGCAAACATTTACTTTTTTACTTCTCTGATTGTATAAATATAGCTCATTCGTTATTCTCCTCTTCATCTTCTGCCGTTTTTCTTTTCGACTATTGCATCAAACTAAATCATATAATTCAGAGAGAAAACAAAACAATTTTTTTCTCAAGGCAATAAATGCACTGTTCGCTGATATACTATGAAGTGTCTCCATGAAATAAACTAAAGATTTTAACGAGAACTGAATCAGTTGTTTTGATGCTTCTTGTATTTTTTAAATAGTTTTCACACACACGCACGCATAAGAGAAAGTCAAACAGTTGAATGAACGAACCAGGAAAAAAGAAGACAAGTTTGTTTATCATCATCATCATCATCATCATCATCATCATACACACTGTTTTCATAAATCCAGAGCGCATGAGGTTCGAGAGTGATCTCACTGTGCAACAATCATACACACACACACACACACACACTTAAGAAAACTTTGTACAAGAGAAGAAAAAAATAATATTGCAATCGATGATACAATGTGTACTCTTTGTACATACCACTTTTAAGTGAAACAAAAAAAGGAGCAAAAAAGAAGAAATGTACTTGAATATATACCACTCATCTCCCTGCAAACGATAACATAACTGTTACATTGTATTCAGTATCAAGAGAGACGCGAAGAGAAAAAAAAATAAAGGATACATATTAAAAAAAATAAAGAAAGAGCCGAACGAATGCGCTTTTTTGTCTGTACAAATAATATTAGTTATTGTTGATGGTAATGTTTTCTCTTCTGGTAGAAATGAGATTATGAAACGAAAGAAAAGATGTACACGCTAGACTTGTGCATATATGCATACCTGCACGTCATTTGCATAGAAACAAGAAAATCATTGAACTGAGACGACGGACGGTAAAGGAATATGAAAAGCGAGAAAGTTGTAGCTACAAGGAATTACCACGAGACGAAGAACTGCCTGTAGTAGATTTGGGTAGAGAATTTGAGTCTTTCAAATGATGAGAATGATTAGAATGTCCAGTCATTCGACGACGTGATACTAATGATAATGACAAGTCTCTCGATGAAGGATGTTTCAGCCATTCAGATTGTAAACATTGATCTAACGTCGGTCGTTCAGATGATCTTATTGATAAACATTGTTCAATTAATTGTATACATTCTAAAATCAATCCATATGTATAATTATAATGTGTTTCATTAATTAAAAAAAAAACTACGCCGATCTCTTCACTCATAGCGTGACAAGACATGTTCTTTCTTTTCATTTTCATTACCGTATACACATGAGCAAGAAAGCCCATAGGAGAAAAACATTTTTCGATATGAAAGAAACGTATTATTAATTAGGTCACTATGATCTACTCATTTAAATTAATATTTCTCCTTTTCTCCTCAAAGAAAATATCGAGTGCAAATTGCTCGTCTCGTATTCATTTATACCAAGCTGCTTCCTTCTACTCCTACGAACTGATCTACATCGGGCCTTTTCTCGCTTCTATTTACCTTGTGAAAGATGATTGGGAAATTGAGGCTGACATTTGATAATAGCTAAATCGTCAGAAAATGGAACATCGCCACAAACTAGGTCATATAATAGTATTCCCAACGACCAAACGGTTTGTGGTAGGCCAAAATATCTCCGACACGTTACCCATTCAGGTGCAGCGTAACACTGAGTGCCTTCGAAATCGGTGTAAATTTCATCGTGCAAAAGAGCACCTGAGCCAAAATCAATTAAATATAATTGTCCTGTACGCATATCGACAAGGAAATTTTCGTCTTTGATATCTCGATGAAGAACCTATTGGAACGATAAAGACATAGAAGAGGAACAAACGTCGAGTCCATTCGACTTACCCCACATGCATGGACATCTTTAAGAATTTGTAAAATTTGTTTAAAAAAATCTCGCGCTAATCGTTCGTCTAATCCGCCTGAACGTTCACAAATAAAATCATATAGATCACAACAATGTTCAGGTCGTTCAAGTACAATAACAAGTTGATCATTATGTATAAAATATTCCAACATATGTATAACATTTTTCACTTTAGCTACACGACGCAATAACACAACTTCCAATGGTAGTTTACCATCAGGCTACAAAAGCAGAAGACCAATTTGAAATTCGAATGTCTTCCACAAATCTTTGTCTTACCGTATTGATTTCTGTCACGCGCTTTCTCGGTATCACTTTCAATGCTACAGGCATTCCATCCTTCTTCCGTACACCAGCGTAGACGTCGGCAAAACCGCCAGATGCAAGTTTATGAGCAATTAAATACCGTGCATGGAGCGGATCAACGAGTGCTAAAGAAATGGAAAAATCCCGAAATAGATACATATTATTCAATTGCAATGAACAAGTGTTGTACTCAATCTAATCTTATCATCAATGCAGAGAGTAAGCATAGTAAAACAAGGCATGTGACACATCATCGAATGTTCTTTTGTCCTATGTAACATAGCTTATTCATACTGGATGTCGTATTATACTAAGACAAAAAAAAGAACCTGTTATACACCAATGATATGTGTCTGTTCTGTATCGTTTTTAACTATATTGATGACAAGCTTATTAACAAAAGGAAGATATGAACGCAATAACCTATTTCTTGTTTTGTTTTCTACTATGTACTATATTGCCTTTGACTACAAGTGATAGGATTATGAGGTATAACTTACTTGAACGTGGTTTCGTTTTAGCAATCGTATTTGACTGTTGTCGCTGTGTATGGATCGCTAATTGGGATGGTTGTGGTGGACGATGATGATGATGATGATGAGATGAGGGAGCAAGGACAAGAGTACTCATATTGATAAAAACTAAACGCTTGGTTGTTGTTGATTTAAAAGCTTCTTATGTTGCTTGTTGACCGTTTTAAAATAAGAATAGTAAAAATTCGACAAATGAAACGCTTATCTGAAATGTCAAAGACGAAAATGTTTATTTCATCAAGTAAAAAACGAATAAGATGATGATGATGATGTGTGTGCGTGTATGTTTGTTGCGATAATGGGAGAGAAGAAAAAACGCACTATGCATTGTCTTTTTCTCCTTCTTCTTCTTCTTCTTTTCTTTTCTTTTCTTTCTCGATCCTGTCGCTTTCTCTCTTTTGTCTCTCTTCCCCTTCTTTTCTTCTTTTGTTGTATGCACGCAATAGAAGGATATTCTCATCGAAAAAGAGACGAAGAAGAAGAAGAAGAGAAAAAAACGATATCTCTGTCCAACAAAAACACAATAACGACGATGCTGTTGCTATTTAACAACCGACACGACCTATACAATCAACGTTCGCGGAAAAAAGAAAGGCAAAAGAAAAGAATACGCGCTCACGTCTATGAATGAATTGTGCGCACACAAGCGCAGCCAAAGGAAAGGAAAGGAAAGAAATGGCGTTATAAGTTGGCAAATCTCCAACATAAATGTGTAACTAGCGAACGCGCGCGCACTCGCTACGGGTTTTTTCCTTTCTCTTTCTCATTTGGCTCAGAATCAAAAAGAAATTGGCGAATAACCTGTTGTTCTTTCTTTTGCGACAAGTAACGTCAGCGTCAAGCAAAAAGAATATACGCTTTTACGCATAGACGATATGGTCGGAAGAAAAAGAAAGAGAAGAAGATTCATCGTCAAACAATTGGTTTAATTAAAATAAAAGAAAGATGACGAAGAAACGAACGAACGAGCGAGCGCAAACATCTTTGCCATCATTAGACTAATTCGCGTGTGATATAGAAGATGTCTAGGACAAAATAAACAATCAGTTCTAGTAGGCGTAGGAGCAAAGAATATGCATACATATGTGTATACGCACAAATATATATCTGAATAGATAGATACGAGTGTGGAGGAGGAGGAGGAAGAAGAAGATGACGATATAGCTTTATTCTTCTTCTATATCGATATAGATTCCAAATAAATAATCAATAAACAGAATGAAAAGGACACGTTGTTCGAATCGAAGTTTAAACTAATCAGACAAAGAACTGTCTAGAAAGTGATGAATGATGTGTATGTTGTTTCTGTTATTCTTAGACGAAAAAAGAAATTTTCGTTTATCTGTCGACGAAATTTTGTTAAACAAAAACTGAAAATTCTTAACATAATATAAGCAAATAAGCGCGAATGAAAAAAAAAATAACAAATTCGTTTCTTTCGTCGACAAATGGAAGAATAGAAGTGAAATATTTTTTTAATGAGAATGCATACATACTCTCACGTAAATACGTAGAAACAATTATACGCAAAAGTAGAGTCATTTTTTTGTTAAATATTGAAAAAAATTGAGAAGTGACCTATATAACTAGTCAAAACAGAATTGCCAACACAAAAAGTTGGTGACGTATTCCGTAATGTTGTTTTATGTAATCATGAATGAGAAACGTAGAAAGAGAAAGTAGGTTGATTTGAGTCGTATTCGCTCAAGTGCAGCAAGTTTCCATCGCAGGTAAAAGAATACAAAAAAAAAGACGAGTGAGAAAGGAAGTGTGAGAGTGAGTAATCCTTTCCCGTCTTTTAACATAAAAACTAATCGTCTAAGTATCATCTAATTGATTACAGCTAATAGAACTATTGATAGAACGAAAAACAATATCAACGAAAAAGGTATATTTTTAGCAGTTAGGTACTTTCATGATTGAAAATTGAAGCTTTATCGTAAAGGTAAAAAGATCTAACAATACTCGTCTCGTACTTTTTTCGCTTTATCAACAAGTCCATACCTTTTTATTCGTTCCACCTTCTCTACGTCAATTTCAAGTAAGTTGTGAAAGTTTTCAGTCAATAAAGTGCATTGAATGATGACTCAAAAGAGGAACATGTATTCATACGCCAACACACACGACCAAATGAATATTTTGTGTTATGATAGACGCAATCGATTCAGTCAAATGATAACAATAAATTTATTTAATTGCCTTCAAAGAGAAGAGGAAAAAAGCGAAGAATAATGATACCGAGAACGAACGAAATGGAGTTATCAGTAGGAGGTTTGGCAATCCTGATAAATAATCGACCCATATTCGAATTAAAGATATACGCCATGTAAAGAGAGAGTGAGAAGGAAAGAATGAGATATATAAATTGTCCTTACCATATGCACTTAAATCGGCACGTATATATTCGTCCTAAAATAAGGTATTATCAGTTAACAATGATATGTATCAAACCTTGAAGACGATGAATATACGGCAGCCAGCACATATATACGCATGCTATCGATTTAATGACTGAGTAATACTGAAGAATAGGAGTGAAAGAGTTGAAATGAGCATTACAGTATTATAAAACGATGATGACGGCGTTTTTAAAAGCGAACAATCATACTCGATATATACACATACAAATACGTATTGTTACTTACCTGAGTGTTTTATTCAGCATATGTGTTTAATAATAGACATACGGACAGGAACAAAGAAAGAAAGAAAGAATGTGTTACTCATGTATTTGTCGGGAAGAAAGAGAAAGACGTAAATGATGATGATGACAATGTGGCTTCCAGTATCATATATGAGTCGACTTCTAAATTAGATGGCACCGTTAAACGCTAACTGAAAAATACCGAACGATTCGCTTCTTTTCCATTTCCTCTATTCCCACGTTCACACGCGATTAACACCTAAGTGAGATCAAGAATATCACTGGCTGAGAATTGCATCAACACTTTGAATCTCTCATAGAAATGTAAAATCTCGACATCTGAGACAATAGACAAGTGTTTGATCGGATAACTTTGATGGCAGACAATGTTTGTATAAATGTGAATAACATTGATTTAAAGATAGGAGAACTCTTATCTGATGCAGTTGAAAACACATCTAAATATGCGCTAAGATGAAACTTGATCTTGTCTTATGAACAAATGTGATTGACACACAACAGATGGATAGAAAAAAGTCGTTGTCCAACATCGAGAATCGACATTTCATTGATCAAATTTTGTTCGATGTTATTTGATAACCATCACACATCTCGATGAAAACATGCGTTGTAGATTAGAAATAGATGGCACTTAACACTAATGTCCTTGAGAAAAGTACCTGATTGAATGAGAACAGCAAGAACAAAGACGCGTTTGTAATGACATATGTCACAGGAAAGATTGTCATTTTGAAAAATTCTTTCTTCATCAACGCTACTGTTCATTCGAGTAAAAAATCACTGCGCAAAAATCTTTCTTTGGTATTCATGTATGAAATTTCATTGAAAAAAAAGAATATGGAAAATCGTGATTTGCCAAGGAGAGTCACTCAGATTTGATATGATTCAATTTATTTACAGAAATATCCTAGACTAATCATCACCATCAAAGCCGCTCTCATCCATGAATGAAAGTAATTGTGTTTTAGTCTTCTTCTTCTCATTGGATTTGCCTTCACTAGTATCTTTGGTTGCATTTGTTTCTGAACTTTTGCGTTTTGTTGATTTATTCGATGCCATATCGACGATGTCCGATTTGTTTGCCGAGCTCTCACTTTCATTAGATTTTTCCTTCGGCTTCCGAAAAAGTAGACGCCCAGTCGAATCAGTGCACTTTTTTTCTTCTTCCGCTGTAATTAAACAAAAGAAAAATTCACATTAAAAAACACGAAGAGTACATCAGAAGTCTATTGTGGAGAAGTTTTCTGTCTTCTTTTTTTATATACCCATGAAGGTTGCCTTTCTTGAGTACATTCTCAAGTGGAGATTATACGAATTCACAAACTCGATTAGATTCTTTTCTTCCTCGCGCAATAAAACTTAAATAGGTCGATCAGATAACCATTGCACTATTATTATTGACAGTTTTAGTCAAATCAAGTAATCATCGTTCCTTCCATCCTTCAGTTATATACATGTTTTACTAGTTCAAAAAAGAGTTGCTCTATTTAACAACTCTTACTTTAATAAGAACGAACTATATTTGTCTTCAATATAGTCTTTTTTGAGTAGTACTCATCGAGATGTTGATATTTGAAACACAAATGATGTTGAATAATTTGATGTAACTGAAATCTTAATGTAGACTGGAAAATATTTGCTGAAAACTATTCTGTAATTGATATGCTTGAATTGTAATCATGAGTTTACGATGAAATCAGGCGTGTACATCTATTCTTGTTGAAGCTCACTTCAAACGAAAAAACATGAGTTTTACTCACTAACTTGAGCAATTTCAAGTACTCATTGCTGGTTTGAAGGAAGTAATCAACTTTCTATATTTACCTTCTTTTGCTTTGGCCAATTCAAGTTCCACTTCTTCTTTACTCAGATCGTTCGCATTCAACTGCACGATTTGAGGCTTTTCATCGTCTTTTCGATCATCTCCAGTACGCTCGTTGATTTCAGTAATTATTTGTTGACGCTATATACACATCTAGATCAAATGTTCATAGAAAATCAAAAGATTACTTTATCGTCTGTCGTTGTTGGTGCTTGGTAACCAGTACGTTCTTTAAATTGTCGAATAAAGGCAGGTTCATCGCCTGCGTTATACAAAATCTTGCCTTGTCTACCACTACCACCACCACCGCCGCCAGCTGTTCCACCGTACGATTTTTGTCTACCGCCATGTCTATTGTGTCTCGACATGATTTACAATCGAAAATAAAGGGAAAGAAATTAAATACAGTGTCGTCTGTAAATGACAATTAACTGTTTTATGCGAGGTTTTCGAATGCAAACGAATGGATCTACTTGCACTGCTGACAGAAATGGAATCTTTTCGTGAACTATTTTTTTTAGAAAAAAAAACAAAAGCTTTATAGTGTACATGAACAACAGACGAAAATAAAGAGCGAAACTGTGTATGTATTATGGAGATAGTGTTGGAAATATTTGACATCGACTAATATCGTATATTGTTTGTATCAAACTTGTCGAAGAAACACGATTGATTTTGGAAGCAAAATAAAACAAAATTTGATCTAATTATTGTCTCGTTGATCGTTTAGATGGAATGAGTTCATAATCATCGTAATTGGAATTTGGACGTTTTAAATTCGGACGCGCACGATTCGATGGATGATAGTCTCGTAAGAGATTATCTTGATGATCCATGGATGATGAATATTCGTAATCTTTCAAATCCGATGCGAAACGGTAATTCATATCCGGCGAATATTGCTCACGCAGAGTATGCGGAGAAGATGAAGACATAGACATACTAGACGAACTTCGATATAGATTATGACGAGATAAAGATGATGAAGTTAAATTGTCATGCGAGGAGACGTGGTATCGATTTGCTAGAAATAAAAACAGTCAATATTTCGTCTCATCGATAGTAATGACTCAGGTGTTACTTACGTGGCATGTCATACCGTTCGGAATGTAAATCGGAACGCACAACAAACGGAGGAGGTAATGAACGAGGCGGTGGAGATCGGTAGTGATTATGTCTGTCAATTTCATGATTCGAATCTCGAGGCCTGTAATCTAATGCTCGATCATCGTTCCGATAAGGAGACATGATTGATGGAGAGTGATTTCGACTAGAAATATAACTGATTATTCGAATATTCAATTATACAAGGAACAAACCGGTAATAAAGTGCTGTTGATGATGGTGGATATCGATTTCGTTCTATGTCAGCGTGTTTTGGCTGCGAAAACGAAGGATGATAGGAAGATGGACTATTGGAATATGCTGATTGTTCATCAAACATTGATGAATGTGTATTCCACTGATTCGACAATCGACCGTAGTGCGAGGAAGATGGCGACCATCTACCATGATAATTTGATTGAGTACTGGCTCTTCGGGCAGAGGGAGAAGATGGTGATGATGAACGAGCCGGATGTGATGATATTGAATAATCATGTGTACGATGATTACGATAATGACTGGATGGACTATTGCGTGATGAAACAGGTCGGGAATTATATGATGTACGTGTTGAGCGATAGTTATAACTATTATTCGATGGATTTTTCAAACCGTAATCACTTTCGTAATCATTATCATGCGAAGAATGTTGACTAAATCATATATATATATAGTTCTGCATGTTTGTTGTTTTCATAATATGGAAATAAAAGTTCTCCTACCGATAATTTTTGTGTAATAACCGTTCTTCATAATGATTTCGAGCGTTTAAATCATGATTATTATGTCGATCACGGTATCGGCCGCGATAACCACCACGAGAGCGTTCCATATCAGCAAATACTCACAAACAAAATATGGTGCCACCGATCACTGAGTATGACGATCAACAAGTGCATTTATTTGCATATATATATGCATATATCTGGAACAGATGTATCAATAGAAGACCTACACTTCGTTCTGTTTTTTTACTGATATTGATGTAGATAAAGGAAAATATGCGTAGTTATGTTCGAATGGGTAAATAGCTGTCTTGAGGAGTTTAGTTATTCATAGGGTAAATCGATCTGATGGTGATCAATATAGACAGGCGTTGAGTAATGCATTCGGGCTATTTTCGCAGAATCGAAGAATAATATTCGGAGCTGCTATTGATGTATTTATTCGACATTTCAGTCTAAATAGAACGTAGGTTTTGTTATTTGGTAGAAGTAACTTCTTCAATTTATGCAATTGTATGCAATATTTTGTCGCATTAATGAGAATAACAATTGATTTTTCTATTTCAATGAAAAATGAGTTTGTTCTCGCGAAAAAATATCCTTCTTCTGCTTCCATCTAAGTATAAATATGAAAAGCGGGACAAACTCGCTACTTCTCTCTGTCGAACTTCAACAAAAAATCGAACATTTCACGAAAAATGTTGCTTTTCCAATAAAACAAAAGAATTGAGTGTGTTTTCTTCACACACCGTGCTCGAATTATGTTTTTTTTTAATGTTAATATATTTTTCTCTCAGTAAAAGACAATAATAGATTAGATAGAGAACCAAAGAAAGGAACAAAGATGAAGAAGAATAAGAGCAAGAAAATGACATTCTGTTTGAATTGGTTGTTCGTAATTTCAAGGATACACACGTTTTGATGGCTTGTATATACACAAAAAAAGAATAGATTTGTATGGAAAAAGAAATTTGTGTTTTTTATAAAAACAGAATTCGTGTTACAAAGGTACAGACAACAAAAGAAGACGATGTTTTATATCTGGCACACAGAAAGAACAACACAAAACTAGAGACTCTGCTTGCTAAAAGAAAAAGAAGAAGTAGATTTGAGTGTGTTGAGTTTTCGATTTGAATTAAGCATAAATTTTCGCTATTGAATCTGCTCCAACACTGGCCATATAGGGTTTTGATGAGTGAAATGCAACGTCATGTATAGATTCATCATCTTTCTTCTGATGGACTGTTAGTTCTTGAATACAGTTTTTGGTTTCGAGATTCCACAAACGTATCGAACGATCGTGACCTTCAAACAAAATAAGAAAAATAATTTCAATATGAATAAGAAGTCTCCTCTGAGAAAACGATGCGTACTGCTGGAGAGTAGTGTAGATTGCTGTGGATCAATTGCTAATGATGTGACGGTATCAAGATGAGCTACCATTGAATGTATTATTCGACCTATACGGAAAGAAAAGCATTTAGTCTTTATAGTTAATAAAAGTAATTATCTCTTACCAGAATTACTATCAAAATATCGTATTTTGCCATCATCATGTGCACTTATAATAATTGCTTGTGATGGATGGCTTATAATTCTATTTATTCGATAGTTTGGATCTGATGTTGGATTATCATTAACAAATTGTGTGATGATTTTGCCAGTTTCTGTGTCATACATAACTGTTTGAAGGGAATCATATGTGGCAATAAATCGATTCGTATCTTGCATGTACCAATCAATAGATATGGGTATGCCATCATCTAAAAGCGCAATTACTCATTATCAAAGTGTTCAAAGAGATAAAGAACGTACGAGTAAATGTTGATTGAAATGGTTGAGTTAAACTTGGATCCCACAATCGAATTGATCCATCGGATGAACACGAAAGCAATTTCTGACCGGATATGACTAATTGCCAAACAGCATCTGTATGACCTTCTAACACATTATTCAAGACATTTGAATCTGTTAAATAGATAGTATAGAGGAGTGTACAACTCAGTAATCAATATCTTTTTCATACCATAGGAATCATATGGATCAACATCAGAATTTGGAACATTCCATACGGATATAATGGAATCAAGGCCACCGCTATAGAACTGTTCTCCGGATGGATTCATTGCCACACACAGAACAGCGCCACTAGAGAAATTCAATCAATTTAATGATCGTTTTTTCTCATTAACTTACGTGTGCCGCCGAAAGGTATAGATCGGTTCCAAATCTTGTGATGTAGCTGGTGTTGTCCTGAAACAAAAAAGCATTCAATTCTTCACATAAATCATTCCGTCATTCGACTTACTTTCTCAGCACAGCAGCTTTCTCTAGATTCCATAATTTCAGTGTTCGATCTTCGGAACCAGTGACTACAACTGATTCGACGGGATGGAAAGCGACACAACGCACTCCATCCAAATGACTGAATAGAGAGAGAGAGAGAGAAAATTTGCGTCATTGTTTAATCCATAGAAGATCACACATTACCTTCGTAAGACATATTTTACATTCCATGTTTTTCGAAAATCCGATGATTCATTTGTATTATTCTAATATGGAAAGGAACAGTTAGTAATCGAATGGAAGAAAATCGAAAATGAACTTTACCTCATCTTGAGCTTCATTATCATTTGAAACTGTCACACGTGCTAATTCATCGAGACCTTCGACCGCAGTGTCTCCGATGAAATTCTTACTATTTCGGAACATCATTGTATCAACCATTTCACGATTCACTATGGAACCAAAACAAGAGGAGAACAACAATAATAATAAATATCGAGTTTTCATCTAGAACATACTTTGTTCATCTTCCGTGAATGTTCGTTGATCAGAAGAAACATCATTATTTCCATTATTAAGTAAATTGGTTCGATTGGACGAAGAAACTTGCTGTTGTTTACCGTGACGATCACGTTTATATTCTTCTTTTAATCGATTAAATCGAGATTGATCAACATTCCATTCACTACTATCTGTTTCTATGAAAAATAAATTCGATGTTAAAGATAGATTTAATCGAAACAAAACGTCAGCTTTCTTACCATTTGATGTGATTTCATTGATATTTGTAGTAGCAGCAGCATCTCCACTGAGAAAATCGAATTCATGCAATGCAGCTTCTTCACTGTCGAGATCATTGAGCGTATCAAGACCAGAGTTATGATTTGTTGAGTTTCCGTTGTTCGGCTTAGGTATGATTCGACTCGTATCAATATCGTCGTCGCTAAACGAAGGAAAATTTTAAATATTCCATTTGTATATTCATTAATGAATACCTTGAATCTTCCTCAGCTTGATCTTCTTTGAGAAAAACAAGTGAAGCAAGGACTGATTTACTTAAATCACTTGTCGCATTCTTGATGATATTTGGAATCATTCTAAACATGTTCTCTCGTTATTTTCTTCATGAATTATTCACAAGCACTTCACCGTTTCGTTTCACTTATAGGTTTAACGTCGCCGTTGAATCCCATATTATTATTATTGTTATTATTATTGTTATTATTTCCATTGATGTTTGTTTCACTCTTAATTCCAAGTAATTTCTTAACAGCTGTTGAACGAATGTCAATGATCGTATCGACATAACCGATCTCTTTTAGATATCTAATTGAATCATTGTATGCATTAAACAGCATCGTCTCCATTCAACCAACTTACTGTCGAAGTAATTGACGACCTTGTTTGAAGGAAACACTACTACCACCGAAAGCTAAATTAGGATCTTCCTTATTATCATCTAATCATGAGAAGAATGGATAGTGAGATATTTTTCGGCAGCGCATTTTCACTAACCGTCATCAAAGTTTGGTGCTTCATTCGATGTTGATTTTTGTTCTTCTAATGGAATATTTTCACTGCCATACTTTAATTTATTAAACTTCAATCTAAATGATACATAGATATCTCAAGAGACGTTCGGCGTGTTTTGATTCTTCCGGAAAATGGGAATACTCTATTCTCTAGTGATGAAAGTCATGAATTAGCGCAACGATTAATTATTCACCTTTCTTGTTTCAATGCATATTCAAGCATTTTGATACGTCTGACGAGTGCATTTTTCAGGTTTTCTTGTCCTTGTCTTTCGCCCTGAAGAAAAGCAATACGTGCCTAGAACAACGAAATAAGTCATTCATGGCTTGCTGTGAAAAATAGCTATTCGTTTTACTTGAAATTCAGCTCGTTCAGTTTCCCATTGTTGCCGTTCGATTTCGAATCTAGTCCATTCGTGTTGGAGAAAATGAAGGATGCCAGGTACTGTATATAAGGGACGTTGAGGCTCGACGTTGGCCATAGTCGACGGACCTGTTTGGGAATCTGTTTGATAAGTTAGTTGTGTATCACTACCATCCATTGGAGTTCATATCGATGTAAAGATTCAACAGAAAATGAAAAAATATATATATGTATCTATATAGAACCGAATCTGAAATAATAACAAACATCAAGAGAATTCGTTCGACATTTTATTCAATATTGAAAACTTCGATAGTTTTGAATTTCATCAACTATTTTTTGACATTCATCATCATCGAGTTTGCTGTCTAAAGATGGAATTAGTGTTTTCGCCTCCGCTGCTAGTTGTGGACAAAGATTAGCAAGTAAAGCAGCTTCGAATTTATGTAAAACAGGCGCAGAACTTGATGTTGCCATACCATTCGTTTGATCTTTGGGGAAGAGTAAATTTCTCACCGCGCTGATTGCTTCTTTTGTTTTAAATTTACTGAATCGTTCACAGTATGCAACAATATCATTGAATGCTTCGGATGACGTGAGTTCGTCATCATCATCGTCTATATCTTCACTGTTTTGCTGCTTTCGACGTTCTTCGAGCAATAACAAAACTTCCGAGATCATCATCGGTTCAGCTTTATCGAATTCTTTTGGAAATTTTAATTGAGCAGCATCGTCGTCATCCTATATACAAGCAAAAACGAGACATTTTCTTCGGAAAAGTCTGTCACGATCAATTTACTTGATTCACATTTGCCATTGTTTGATATTAATTTTGAAGTTCCAAATGAAAGTTCAACCGGCAAACAATAAACAAATAAACAATAAGAGTAGAAGAGAAAGAAGAAGAAAAGGATTTCTTGCTTCAAACGTGGGTATTATTAGGAATAATGATCGATGACAACTAATCAAAATTTCAAAAATCATATGCAACTTTTCCTTTTATATCATCAAAAACAAAAAACATTTTATTACGGGAAAAAACAAATTGGTTTTCCTTCTCGACGAAAACATTTGCCGCGACATCTATTCAAAAATCAACGGTAGATAGCGACATCTTCCCGCACATTCAACATAGATAAGCAACAATGACTTTGCAAAGTTCTTTCCGGAAAGTATGAGATATAAGAAAAACAAGAAATGGGACAGCATTTGATAGATCGATGAGAAAGTCAGAGGTCATGAATGTCAGAAATTTTTCCATGGCTATTCGATCATTGGATTTTACTTCTTCTGTGATTGAAGATAAAGTATTGTATACCAAATGAATTGGATGTAAAATTGTAAGGGATATATAAACAATAATTTGAATTAATAGCATTGTGCTTAACTGACGATCGCAACGATGAAAACCGTGGAGATTTTTATTTTGATCACCTTTCTGTTTAGGATTTGATTTCCGGACAATTGGACGAACAATACGATGTCTTTTTCGTAAATTTTGATAGATCAAAACACTGAATGCAATCATCAGAGGAAATGGAAGAATGGCGAAAATAAAGCAAACATAAAACGAGTGATAGAGAGTAACGACTGTCGACTGCATTCTGCATTGATCATGGTGAATACTTGAAAATATAGGAATGTAAACTGGAATAATCATCCAAACGATCGGTACGAGAGCAATAATTCGCAGAGTCATTTTTTGACGGAAGAGATTACGTATTCGAGTGTGTCTTGATGAGTAAATATAACAACTTATACAAGCAATTATTAAGTAAGTTCGTGAGGTACCAAGTAATACATGACGAAGATACAAGCAAAGCTTGCAAAAGACGAGATTAGCGTTTTCGAGTGCATGATCATGCAAAGAATTAACTAATAGAACTATATCATAGATTAAAAATAGTGTGCTAGTAACCGAAGTTGCAACGAAGAAAGTAGAACAAAGACTAGCGGATAACTTTTTACGAAGAAACACGATACAGTTGAGAGCATGTCCAATAATACCAATACTAAGAAAGACAATCAACGCGGCAGTAAGAAATCTTTGGGTGTTATCCAGATTGCTGCTTATAGACGACATGTATCTACGTTGGAATGCGAGAGACAATATGAAGTTATGAATTTTTTGTTGATTAAGTATGACAATGAGCGCCGATGAAAAGTATGTCATAAAATAATAAAAGAAGTTCTACAGCATATAGAATAATGAAAGCAATTGACATGGAATGAATAAGCAGATTGATGAACCCCGTGAGTATCGCCAGCGTTCTTTTAAAGCATTTTCGATATTTTGCTGTCAAGAATAAAACACAAAGTGCAAAAGTACGCTTTTCAATTTAATAAATTCTTTATGTCGCCTACTACTGTTGCACACAGTTTCTTTTTACCTTCTAATAAACACCGGAAATTTGTCTATATAGTAAATTATAGACATTCGAATTAGAAGACTTGAGGACAACAATGTGTTCGTAATCGTTTAGCAGTGTCGCTGCGATCAATCGTCATCGATACTTGCCTTTGACTAGGAATCTTTTGTAATTGATGAAAACGAGATGTCTAGATCTATTTTGTTGAAAATATATTCACTTTTATTCTGTTTCTGACGCGCATGCGCTTTCTTTTTCAGAGTTAAAAAAACGAACGAAGAGAAATGAGAAAGAGAAACAAACGAAAAGAGAAGAAAAAATGCAGTTATGCTAGTAATAATGATAAACACACGAGAAAGAAAAGCCACAATGAAAAAAACAGGCTAACATGGTTTATCATCATCAGAAATACTTTTCATTTTGAACTGACCCGTCTATTTCGATCGTGTAAGCAAGATCAAACACAAATATACATAAGAAAAGAGAGAGATACATCGAAGTACATACATATTATAGACAATAAGAGCCAGTCTGCCATGAGTTTTGATGAGACATACGAACGTGAACATTGCTGCTGATGTAGATTTTTTCAAAGTTAGAAGGGAGGAAAGAAAATAAAAGAAGATGAACGTACAGATTTTTACAAGACAGAAATAAATAATAAGATGAAAAAGAATCTGTTGCTATTGAATGTAATGCTGAGATGCTTTGCTCATGTTTCTCATCTAAAAATTGCCTATTCTGCACATATACAAGAACAAATAGATTTGATCCGGGTGTAAACACACTCTGCCAAGCAGGTCATAGTGGACAAGGAATTTCCCATGAATCAGATCGGAATCATCGGCAGTGAACCGGATCGGTTCACCCTTGAAACAAAAGAAGAAGAAGAAAAAAGAAAGAAAGAGAAAAGAGCTACATAGACACACTGTTAAAACAGAAGAAATGAAAAAGTGAACAAGGACTAGTGATCGATGTTTAAGATCGAGGATGATGATGCTGCTGTTGCATTGATTTATTCTGTTGAACTGGTGATGGTGAGATTCGTTGATTCAAACTACTATTAACAACCGATGGAGAGTTCGGACGACGTGATGATGTTGGCGTCATCTTCGATGACACGTTACCACCGACATTCTTAATAACAACATTAGGCGAAACATTCTCCATTGGTTCATCGTCTTCCAAATCATCACTATTAGAACCAGCATCATCGTTTTCCTACAACACACAAGTCATTTTTAAATGCAGAAGGATAGATATGAAGAGACTAACCACCATTTCAGGATATAATTCAACAGCTTTGTCAAGCAATGATCGAGCACTTTGAGTTCGTTCGATGAAACATCTATTCAAACAAAGTAAATAAAAGAAATAAATTTTATTATTGGTATTTTTTACCCTTGTGACATATCATTGCTGGTAACAGGTCCTTGAGATGCATAATAGGGATAATTTGTTTGTATATTATTATATGATCGCTAGAAATAGACATGAACTAATATGCAGAAAGACGAAAAATGATTTCTCTTACGTCTAATTGTTCATGCAACCAACGTACAGCTTGTGACCAACGTTGTTTCATATCTGCATCAGTTTTTAATATATGATTAGCTTTTTGACAACTAAACATAGATAGAAGTAAGAGAAATTCTATGATGAATACGACAATGAATTTACTTTGAAAATAATTGTACGAGAGTTTTGATGCAATGATATGCTTTTTTCTGCTGTGTTGATTTCGATTTGACGAACATATCAAATAAATTTTGCGGAGTCGATTCATAACCACAACTTGTTGTCGGACTTGTTCCTGACGCATTCGGTGTATTTGACATTGGAACGCCTTTGAGTGCATAAAGTAATCGAACTTCTTGCCAAGAATCCTCCGTGATCAAAACTGTATAAAGTACATCGAGATGAGCACGAAAATCGTATGTATGATACATTGACAGCTAGGAGGAGAACGATTGAATTGAAGGATTAGGAAATAAATGCACTTACTAGAGTGATGATTTCATTGAGTACGACAGATGTTACTTCAGGATTTTCCCAAACGAGAAAACGAAGCAGACGAAGCGATTCTTCACAAGAACCAGAATTTTCGATGATCTTTTTGAGAAATATATCTCGTTTGTAGATTATATCAGCCATTTGTTGTGGCATGGGACAGATTGGATCATTGTCTTGTGTATAATATGGATTGGGCAAGAGTGCAGCATCGGACTAGATTACAAATGAGAACAATGAATTCGAATGGAAAGAAAGGCACGTTATTTACTTGTCGTGATCTACAATGGCTAGAAACATCGAAACAACGAATTAATGTTGAAAGTATCACAAATAGTTTAGCTGGTTCGCCATAACGAGGTAATGTTGAACATGATGATGAGGAACTATCATCATTGGCAAGATTTACAAATAATGTTGGAACATTAAGACGTATTAATTGTTCACACTTAGAGAAAAGAATACATAGAAATTCGATGTCAATCGATTTTCACATGTCAACTTACTTCATGACGACCGATAGATGAATAATTAACAAAGAATTGAAAGTATTGCGTCAGCATTTTGACATTGTCCGGCATTTCCTTTTTAAGTAATCGTAAGACGTGATTAAGTATCGATTCTTCTACAGTTAAATAAGTCTTAATATCATCTATTGATACAGAGAAGAAAATAAATTCTTCGTATTTTATCAATAATTGAGCAAACCTGTGCTAATGTCTGTTGTTTGTTCATCTTGTCGAGAGTGACTAGCCAAAGCAACAAGCATTTTTCCAAATGCATTACGAATCTAGGTGAAATTATTCGATTAGATTGATCGTCATGGATAAAAATGAAAGAGTTTACTTCAGCAGATGTACAATCAATAAGATATTCTTGAAAACGACTTGGATGTTTAAATAGCACTTCTTCTGCGAGATAGTATCGAGCTTTTCTTGACCAACGAAGACAATGTATAATCAATTCAGTCCATTCGTTAGCAGGTCCACTAGAAAAGGAACATTGGAATAGTAAGGATATGTAGTAGATTCAACAAACCGCAAAGCTTTCTTCGTTCGCCAGCCAACTGAAAAAAGAAATTTTGTAGCGATTTGAACACTGACTAAAGCTAGTTCTTCGATCGTTTCAATCGTCTGAAATAGAGATTCGTAATCAAAATAGAAAAAAATATCAAGTGGAATTACATTAGTTAGAGTTAATTTATCTCCATGCGACTGTTGTTGTTGTTGTTGTTGCTGTTGAAAGAACGTGACTATAACTTGAACATTACTTTGAACAAGTCGTTTCATAAAATGAAAATATTCTGGACTGAAATGTATGCGATTGTGAAGGAATTTAATATTTTGTTTTCGAACACTGCGTTGAACTGATAGTGGCATTCGCTGAGTTTGATCATCTATTTGCGATTGAAAAATTAATATGAACATCAACAAAAATTATCAAATAAACCTACAGAGTTGTAATCGAGAAAGATTTTTTTCTAAACTATTCTCGTTTTCAATTTGTTCAGTAGTCATCTGTTCATAGAATAGAATGTAGGCATTCCACCATCGACGTTGACTGAAAAAGACGTGAAGATGCAATAGGATACAAATGACAAACCGTCTTCATACCGTTTCATCACTGGCTGATCGAATGATTGTGCTGGATAATCGCCACCAAAACATTGAGATCGAAGTTCTTCCTCATCATCCATTTTGCATTCGCTTACATCCGTATCATCAAATTTATACCAATGCAAAGAATCTGATGGATTTGATTCTTCTCTACAATGAATTGAAAAGCAAACGTCCGGCTCTCTCCTTTCTTTCTCTTTGGACTCAACAAACTTATGCTGTACGAATGAATAATAATGACCACCGTTTGCTTGTCCACTGTGTACAATAATACCAACAAGTTTATATCTTGTGCCTCCATTGTTTGATTTCGAATCGTCATCAGCACTTTCGTCAATCACCGACATGCCTAAAATGAAACTGATGGATGTATGGATGAACTTTTAGTGATATTTACCTTCAGCTTTTGCAAGACCGTGTACTGTGTACGGTTCCATATCTAATTCTCTGGGAAACTCGAAATAATCATTGAATTTTATCGGTGTTTCACGTTCCCAGTCATAATCGAATCGTTTAAGTTGAATAGCAAGAATGGGTGGTAACTTTTTAAAACAAGTTCGTTTTATTGTGTCCACCTACATCAGTCAATAACTCGATTTCCACCTCGAATGTTATCGTTTTCCTTTTTTTTACCTTTTTATTGCATTTCTCACAAAAATAAGCGTTAGGTCCATCGAGTAATTCTCCAATAACATACTGTTCAAGAGATTCTTTCAGATTTTGACTATGTCGAATATCTACACTTATCAATGTAAAATCTTCCTCACGTGAATAGCTGAAAAAGAGGGAATGATTGAAAAGATGTACAATCAATTTTATCAAAGTCAACTTACCGATGTGGACAATCTTTACATATCTTTTGATCAGCAAATGTTCCGCCTAATACTTGCGAACATATTTGCGGTAAATTTAGAGATTTTAATGCTTCATCAATACTATCAACAACAGTGTTCAAAAATTCGACTGCATCGTGTTGATCACGTAGATTCACCGGTTCTCCAGAAAATCTTTAAAAGAAAATTTCAGTTCAAACCTCCAACATTGGTCTCTTTTGCCATTGAACTCACTTAAATATTTTCCAAAAACCTCGGGGAATATAAAATTGTAATTTCGATTCAAGCAAATGTCCAAATATCCACTGTATATGACGAAAGATTTGAATATTATATTCATTTCGTTCGTTGGTAGTATTCTTCGGTGATGTTTCCGTCGTATTCGTTATTTCTTGCTGTTTCGTCGGTGATGTCATCGATTGACTATCTTTGAGAAAGAATTTTGTATCGGAGAACGAATCAAACTAAATATGAATCGCAAAATAGGTATATGCAAATGAATTAGTCAGCATACGTTATCTCGACGTTGATCATCATCGTCTGTTTCATCATCGCCATGGCCAGGTGGAATCTTCACTGATAACAAGGCCGTACGTAATGGACGAATCATAAACAATTGTTGAAAAACCGAATTCATATAACATGTTGCACCGCCGTTTTTCAAACCTACGAAGCTACGATTTGGACGTGGGCCAACAAGTGGCGCAAAGTCCCATTCGTTCAAACTGGAATCAGGGACTAAAGACGAATGACTTTGTCAAACATACACATCCGAATTCAAGAACATTTACCTGTGTAGAACAGATCAGTGATATATTTATCGATAAGCTTCAAATTTTCAATACAGTTCGTTCCTAACACAACTAGCAAGTCAAATGCTGCTAATGTTGACATGGGTGTTTGGCAAATAGCGACAGGTGGTTCTTTAAGTAGATCCAATTCATTATCTTCGTCATTATGTGCCGTTTCAGTGGTCACGATTGATTGTTTTGAAAGTCGTTTTCGTCGTAACAAACGAAAGTTATACAGTAAAGTAGATGCCGGAAAGAGATACTGTTCCACGATCTGTTGAATTAATGTTTGATCAATTCCATAGTAACGTTTCCGTTCGCTTGTTTGAAATTGCAGTAATTCTTTCGCAATATTGATATGTCCACGAAGTAAATGATCATCAACTGGTAATGAAATTCGTTTCAAGTATTGTATTTCATCGTCTAGTTGTTGATGAATGTTCGGAGGAGAAATACCTCGTGAATATGCATAGGATAACAAACGGCAGAGGAGAAGAAAGAAGTCGGATGATTGCGATGAATAATGTTTTAAATTTTCTGAGGATTTATTCAAGAATTGAAATTGTTTTTGAAGGATAAATTGAATTAAGTTTTCACATTGTCCTTGAGAGCAACGAGATGTGAGAAGAAAGATTTNCCATTCGACTTACCCCACATGCATGGACATCTTTAAGAATTTGTAAAATTTGTTTAAAAAAATCTCGCGCTAATCGTTCGTCTAATCCGCCTGAACGTTCACAAATAAAATCATATAGATCACAACAATGTTCAGGTCGTTCAAGTACAATAACAAGTTGATCATTATGTATAAAATATTCCAACATATGTATAACATTTTTCACTTTAGCTACACGACGTAATAGCACAACTTCCAATGGTAGTTTGCCATCAGGCTACAAAAGCAGAAGACCAGTTCGAAATTCGAATGTTTCCCACAAATCTTTATCTTACCGTATTGATTTCTGTCACGCGCTTTCTCGGTATCACTTTCAATGCTACAGGCATTCCATCTTTCTTCCGTACACCGGCGTAGACGTCGGCAAAACCGCCAGATGCAAGCTTATGAGCAATTAAATACCGTGCATGAAGTGGATCAACGAGTGCTAAAGAAATGGAAAAATCCCGAAATAGATACATATTATTCAGTTGCAATGAACAAGTGTTACACTCAATCTAATCTTATCACCGATGCAGAGAGTAAACGTAGTAAAACAAGGCATATGACACATCATCGAATGTTCTTTTGTCCTATGTAACTTAGCTTATTCATACTGGATGTCGTATTATACTAAGACGAAAAAGGACCTGTTATATACCAATGATATGTGTCTGTTCTGTATCGTTTTCAACTATATTGATGACAAGCTTATTAACAAAAGGAAGATATGAACGCAATAACCTATTTCTTGTTTTGTTTTCTATTGTGTACTACATTGCCTTTGACTACAAGTGATAGGATTATGAGGTATAACTTACTAGAACGCGGTTTCGTTTTGGCAATCGTATTTGACTGTTGTCGCTGTGTATGGATCGCTAATTGGGATGGTTGTGGTGGACGATGATGATGATGATGAGATGAGGGAGCAAGGACAAGAGTACTCATACTGATAAAAACTGAACGCTTGGTTGTTGTTGATTTAAAAGCTTCCTACGTTGCTTGTTGACCGTTTTAAAATAAGAGTAATAAAAATTCGACAAATGAAACGCTTATCTGAAATGTCAAAGACGAAAATGTTTATTTCATCAAGTAAAAACGAATAAGATGATGATGATGATGATGTGTGTGCGTGTATGTTTGTTGCGATAATGGGAGAGAAGAAAAAACGCACTATGCATTGTCTTTTTCCCCTTCTCCTTCTTCTTCTTTTCTTTTCTTTCTCGGTTCTGTCGCTTTCTCTCTTTTGTCTCTCTCCCTCTTCTTTTCTTCTTTTGTTGTGCGCACGCAATAGGAGGATATTCTCATCGAAAAAGAGACGAAGAAGAAGAAGAAGAAAAAAAAACGAGATATCTTTGTCCAACAAAAACACAATAACGACGATGCTGTTGCTATTTAACAACCGACACGATCTATACAACCAACGTTCGCGGAAAAAGAAAGGCAAAAGAAAAGAATACGCGCTCACGTCTATGAATGAATTGTGCGCACACAAGCGCAGCCAAAGGAAAGGAAAGGAAAGAAATGGCGTTATAAGTTGGCAAATCTCCAACATAAATGTGTAACTAGCGAATGCGCGCGCGCTCGCTGAGGGTTTTTTTCCTTTCTCTTTCTCATTTGGCTCAGGATCAAAAAGAAATTGGCGAATAACCTGTTGTTCTTTCTTTTGCGACAAGCAACGTCAGTGTCAAGAAAAAAGAATATACGCTTTTACGCATAGACGATATGGTCGGAAGAAAGAAAAAGAGAAGAAGATTCATCGTCAAACAATTGGTTTAATTAAAATAAAAGAAAGATGACGAAGAAACGAACGAACGAGCGAGCACAAACATCTTTGCCATCATTAGACTAATTCGCGTGTGATATAGAAGATGTCTAGGGCAAAATAAACAATCAGTTCTAGTAGGCGTAGGAGCAAAGAATATGCATACATATGTGTATACGCACAAATATATATCTGAATCGATAGATACGAATGTGGAGGAGGAGGAGGACGAGGAAGAAGAAGAAGATGACGATATAGCTTTATTCTTCTTCTATATCGATATAGATTCCAAATAAATAATCAATAAACAGACTGAAAAGGACACGTTGTTCGAATCGAAGTTTAAACTAATCAGACAAAGAACTGTCTAACAAGTGATGAATGATGTGTATGCTGTCTCTGTTATTCTTAGACGAAAAAAGAAATTTTCGTTTATCTTTCGACGAAATTTTGTTAAACAAAAACTGAAAATTCTTAACATAATATAAGCAAATAAACGCAAATGGAAAAAAATAACAAATTCGTTTCTTGCGTCGACAAATGGAAGAATAGAAGTGAAATATTTTTCTAATGAGAATGCATACATACTCTCACGTCAATACGAAGAAATAATTATTTGAAAAAGTAGAGCTATTTTCTTTAAATAGTGAGAAAAAATAGAGGAATGACCTATATAACCTGTCTAAACAAAATTGTCAACGCAAAAAAGTTCGAGATGTATTCCGTAATGTTGTTTTATGCAATCATGAATGAGAAACGTAGAAAGAGAAAGTAGGCTGATTTTAGTCGTATTCCCTCAAGTACATCGAGTTTCCATCGAAGGTAAAAGAATACTGAAAAAGACGAGTGAGAAAGGAAGTGTGAGGGTGAGTAATACTTTCCCTTTTTTTAACATTAAAACTAATCATTTAAGTATCATCTAATTGATTACAGCGAATAGAAGTATTGATAGAACGAAAAAGGTATATTTTTGGTAGTTAGGTACTTTCGTGACTGGAAGTTTGCAGCTTTATCGTAAAGGTAAAAAGATCGAAGAATACTCGTCTCGTACTTTTCCACTTTATCAGCGTGTCCATACCTTTTTAATTCGTTCCTTCCTCCCTACATCGATTTCAAGTAAGTTGTGAAAGTTCTCGGTCGATAAAGTGCGTAAATGATGACTCAAAAGAGGAACATGTATTCATACGCCAACACACGACGAAACGAATATTTTGTGTTATGATAGACGCAATCGATTCAGTCAAATGATAACAATAAATTTATTTAATTGCTTTCGTCAGAGAGAAAAGAAAAAAAGAGATGAATAGTTATACCAAGAACGAAATGGAGTTATCAGTAGGAGGTTTGGCAATCCTGATAAATAATCGGCCCATATTTGAATTAAAGATATAAGCCACGTAAAAAAAAGAAAGAAAGAAAGAAAGAAGGAGATATATAAATTGTCCTTACCATATGCACTCAAATCTGCACGTATATATTCGCCCTAAAATAAGGTATTATCAGTTAACAATGATGTATCAAACCTTGAAGGCGATGAATATACGGCAGCCGGCGCATATATACACATGCTATCGATTTAGTGGCAGAGTAATACCGAAGAACAGGAGTGAAAGAGTCAAAATGAGCATTACCGTATTATAAAACGACGATGACGGCGTTTTTAAAAGCGAACAATCACACTCGATATATACACATACAAATACGCATTGTTACTTACCTGAGTATTTTATTCAGCATATGTGTTTAATAATAGACATACGGACAGGAACAAAGAAAGAATGAGGTACTCATGTACTTTTCGGGAAGAAAGAGAAAAACGTAAATGATGATGACGACCGTATGGCTTCCAGTATCATATATAAATCGACTTCTAAATTAGATGACATCGTTAAATGCTAACTGAAAAATATCGAACGATTCGCTTCTTTCCTATTTCCTCTATTCCCACGTTCACACGCGATTAACACCTAAGTGAGATCAAGAATATCACTGGCTGAGAATTGCATCAACACTTCGAATCTCTCATAGAAATGTAAAATCTCGACATCTGAGACAATAGACAAGTGTTTGATCGGATAACTTTGATGGCAGACAATGTTTATATAAATGTGAATAACATTGATTTAAAGATAGGAGAACTCTTATCTGATGCAGTTGAAAACACATCTAAATATGCGCTAAGATGAAACTTGATCTTGTCTTATGAACAAATGTGATTGACACACAACAGATGGATAGAAAAAAAAGTCGTTGTCCAACATCGAGAATCGACATTTCATTGATCAAATTTTGTTCGATGTTATTTGATAACCATCACACATTTCGATGAAAACATGCGTTGTAGATTAGAAATAGATGGCACTTAACACCAATGTCCTTGGGAAAAGTACCTGAGTGAATGAGAACTTCACCAAAAGCGACGTGTTTGTAATGACATATGTCACAGGAAAGATTGTCATCTGGAAAAATCCCTTCTTCATCAATGTTAGTGTTCATTCGAGTAAAAAATCACTGCGCAAAAATCTTTTTTTGGTATTCATGTATGAAATTTCATTGGAAAAAAGCATACGGAAAATCATGATTTTTCAAGCAGAACCACCAACATTTGATATAATTCAATTTATTTACAGAAATCTCTTAGACTAATCATCACCGTCGAAGCCGCTCTCGTCCATGAATGAAAGTAATTGTGTTTTAGTCTTCTTCTTCTCAATGGATTTGTCTTGACTAGTGTCTTTCGTTGCATTTGTTTCTGAACTTTTGCGTTTTGTTGATTTATTCGATGCCATATCGACGATGTCCGATTTGTTTGCCGAGCTCTCACTTTCATTAGATTTTTCCTTCGGCTTACGAAAAAGTAGTCGACCAGTCGAATCGGTGCACTTTTTGTCTTCTTCCGCTGTAATTAAACAAAAGAAAAATTCACATTAAAAAACATGAAAAGTAAATCAGAATTATATTGTATAGAAGTTTTCTGTCTTCTTTTTATATACCCATGAAGGTTGCCTTTCTTGAGTGCATTTTCAAGTGCAGATCATAAGAACTCACAAACTTGGTTAAATTCTTTTCTTTCTCGTACAATAAAACTTAAATAGGTCAATCCGATAAGCGTCGCACTATTATTATTGCACAGTTTTAGTCAAATGAAGTCATCATCGAGATGTTGGTATTTGAAGCACAAATAATGTTGAATACTTTGATGTAACTGAAATTATAATGTAGGCAGGGAAATATCTGTTGAAAACTATTCTAACTATAGTTGATATGCTTGAGTTGAAATCATGAGTTTACGATGAAATCAGGCGTGTGCACTTATTCTTGTTGAAACTCACTTCAAGCGAGAAAACATGAGTTTTACTCTCTAACTCGAGCAATTTCAAGTATTCATTGTTGGTTTGAAGGAAATAATTAACTTTCTGTATTTACCTTCCTTTGCTCTGGCCAATTCCAGTTCCACTTCTTCTTTACTCAGATCGTTCACATTCAACTGCACGATTTGAGGTTTTTCATCGTCTTTTCGATCATCTCCAGTACGCTCGTTGACCTCAGTAATTATTTGTTGACGCTATATACACAAGTAGATCGAAAGCTCATAGAAACTCAAAAGACTACTTTATCATCTGTCGTCGTTGGTGCTTGGTAACCAGTGCGTTCTTTAAATTGTCGAATAAAAGCAGGTTCATCACCTGCGTTATACAAAATCTTGCCTTGTCTGCCGCTACCACCACCACCACCACCACCGCGGCCGCCGCCAGCTGTTCCACCGTACGATTTTTGTCTACCGCCATGTCTATTGTGTCTCGACATGATTTACAATCGAAAATAAAGAGAAAGAAATTAAATATAGAAATACACCGTCGTCTGTAAATGACAATTGACTGATTTATGTGAGGTTTTTGAATGCAACCGAATGGATTTAGTTGCACTGCTGATAGAAATGGAATCTTTTCGTGAACTAATTTTTTTAGGAAAAAACAAAAGCTGTACAGTGTACATGAACAATAGACGAAAATAAAGAGCGAAACTGTGTATGTATTATGGAGATAGTGTTGGAAATATTTGACATAGGCTAATATCGTCTTTTGCTTGTGTCAAATTTGTCGAACAAACATGATTTTGGAAGCGAAATAAAAAGGAAAATTGATCTATTTATTTATTGTCTCGTTGATCGTTTGGATGGAATGAGTTCATAATCATCGTAATTGGAATTTGGACGTTTTAAATTCGGACGCGCACGATTCGATGGATAATAGTCTCTTACGAGACTATCTTGATGATCCATGGATGATGAATGTTCGTAATCTTTCAAATCCGTTCCGAAACGGTAATTCATATCCGGTGAATATTGCTCACGAAGAGTATGCGGAGAAGATGAAGACATAGACATATTAGATGAACTTCGATATAGATTATGACGAGATAAAGATGATGAAGTTACACTGTCACGCGAGGAGACGTAGTATCGATTTGCTGGAAATAAAAACAGTCAATGCTTCATTTCATCGATAGTAATGACTCAGGTGTTACTTACGTGGCATGTCATACCGTTCGAAATGTGTATTATTTCGATGAATGTCAGCATAGGAATCAGAACGCACAACAAACGGAGGAGGTAATGAACGAGGTGGTGGAGATCGGCGGTGATTATGTCTGTAAATTTCATGACTCGAATCTCGAGGCCTGTGATCTAATGATCGATCATCGTTCCGATAGGAAGACATAATTGATGGAGAGTGACTTTGACTAAAAATATAACTGATTATTCGAATATTTAATTATACGAGGAACAAACCGGTAACAAAGTGCTGTTGATGATGGGTCATTGGAATATGCTGATTGTTCATCAAACATTGATGAATGTGCATTCCACTGATTCGATAATCGACTGTAGTGCGAGGAAGATGGCGACCGTTTATCATGGTAATTTGATTGAGTATTGGTTATTCGAGAAAAGGGAGAAGGTGGTGATGATGAACGAGCCGGATGTGATGATATTGAATAATCGTGTGTACGATGATGACGATAATGACTGGATGGGCTATTGCGTGATGAAACAGGTCGAGAATTTAAGGATGTACGTGTTGAGCGATAGTTATAACTATTATTCGATGGATTTTTCAAATCGTAATTGCCTTCGTAATCATTATCATGTGAAGAATGTTGACTAAATCATTTATATAGCTTTACATGTTTGTTTTTTTTTTCCATAATATGAAAATAAAAGTTCTCCTACCGATAATTTTTGTGCAATAATCGTTCGTCATAATGATTTCGAGCGTTTAAATCATGATTATTATGTCGATCACGATATCGGCCACGATAACCACCACGAGAGCGTTCCATATCCGCAAATACTCACAAACGAAGTATGGTACTACCGATCATTCAATATGACAATCAACAAGTGCATCTATTTGCATATATGCATATATCTGGAACAGATGTATCAGTAGAAGACCTACACTTCGTTCTGTTTTTTATTATTATTGATGTAGATAAAGGAAAATATGCGTAGATATGTACGAATGGGTAAATAGCTGTCTCGTGGAGTTTAGTTATTCAGAGGGCAAATCGATCTGATGGTGATCAACATAGACGGGTGTTGAGTCATGTATTCGGGCCATTTTCGCAGGATCGAAGAATAATATTCGGAGCTGCTATTGGCGCATTCATTTGACATTTCAGTCCAGATAGAACGTAGGTTTTGTTATTTGGTGGAAATAATTTCTTCAGTTTATGCAATTATTTGCAATATTTTCTCGCATTGATGAGAATAACGATTGATTTTTCTATTTCAATGCAAAATGAGCTTGTTCGCGCGAAAAAATATCTCTCTTCTGCTTGCATTTAAGTATAAATATAAAAACTGGGACAAACTCGCTACTTCTCTCTGTCAAACTTCAACAAAAATCGATCATTTCATAAAAAACGCTGCTTTTCCAATAAAACAAAAGAATTGAGTGTGTTTTCTTCACACACCGTGCTCGAATTATGTTTTTTTTTAATGTTAATATATTTTTCTCTCAGTAAAAGACAATGATAGATTAGATAGAGAACCAAAGAAAGGAACAAAGATGAAGAAGAATAAGAGCAAGAAAATGACATTCTGTTTGAATTGGTTGTTCGTAATTCCAAGGATGCACACGTTTTGATGGCTTGTATATACACAAAAAAAGAATAGATTTGTATGGAAAAAGAAATTTGTGTTTTTTATAAAAACAGAATTCGTGTTACAAAGGTACAGACAACAAAAGAAGACGATGTTTTATATCTGGCACACAGAAAGAACAACACAAAACTAGAGACTCTGCTTGCTAAAAGAAAAAGAAGAAGTAGATTTGAGTGTGTTGAGTTTTCGATTTGAATTAAGCATAAATTTTCGCTATTGAATCTGCTCCAACACTGGCCATATAGGGCTTTGATGGATGAAATGCAACGTCATGTATAGATTCATCATCTTTCTTCTGATGGGCTGTTAGTTCTTGAATGCAGTTTTTTGTTTCGAGATTCCACAAACGTATCGAACGATCGTGACCTTCAAGCAGAATAAGAAAAATAGTTTGAATGTGAACAAAAATTCTTCTCTGAGAAAACGATGCGTACTGCTGGAGAGTAATGTAGATTGCTGTGGATCAATTGTTAATGATGTGACGGTATCAAGATGAGCTACCATTGAATGTATTATTCGACCTATATAGAAAGAAAAGGATCAATCTTTACAATTAATAGAGGCTTTTATCTCCTACCAGAATTACTATCAAAATATCGTATTTTGCTATCATCATGTGCACTTATAATAATTGCTTGTGATGGATGGCTTATGATTCTATTTATTCGATAGTTTGGATCTGATGTTGGATTATCATTAACAAATTGTGTGATGATTTTGCCGGTTTCTGTGTCATACATAACTGTCTGGAAGGAATCATATGTGGCTATGAATCGATTCGTATCTTGCATGTACCAATCAATAGATATGGGTATGCCATCATCTAAAAGCGCAATTACTCATTACCAAAGTGTTCACAGAGATAACGAACGTACGAGTAAATGTTGATTGAAATGGTTGAGTTAAACTTGGATCCCACAATCGAATTGATCCATCGGATGAACACGAAAGCAATTTTTGACCGGATATGACTAATTGCCAAACAGCATCTGTATGACCTTCTAGCACATTATTCAAGACATTTGAATCTATTAAATAGATAGTATAGAGAAGTATACAACTCAATAATCAATATCTTTTTCATACCATAGGAATCATATGGATCAACATCAGAATTTGGAATATTCCATACGGATATAATGGAATCAAGGCCACCGCTATAGAACTGTTCTCCGGATGGATTCATTGCCACACACAGAACAGCGCCACTAGAGAAATTCAATCAATATAATGATCTTTTTTCCTCATTAACTTACGTGTGCCGCCGAAAAGTATAGATTGGCTCCAAATCCTGTGATGTAGCTGGTGTCCTGAAACAAAAAGCATTCAGTTCTTCACATAAATCATTCCATCATTTCGACCTACTTTCTCAGCACAGCAGCTTTCTCTAGATTCCATAATTTCAGTGTTCGATCTTCGGAACCAGTGACTACAACTGATTCGATGGGATGGAAAGCGACGCAACGCACTCCATCCAAATGACTGAATAAAGAAAATTTGTGTCATTGCTTAAGCCATAGAAAATCATGCATTACCTTCGTAAGACATATTTGACATTCCATGTTTTTCGAAAATCGGATGATTCATTTGTATTATTCTAACACGGAAAGGAACAGTTAATAATCGAATGGAAGAAAATCGAAAATGAACTTTACCTCATCTTGAGCTTCATTATCATTTGAAACTGTCACACGTGCTAATTCATCGAGACCTTCGACCGCAGTGTCTCCGATGAAATTTTTACTATTTCGGAACATCATTGTATCAACCATTTCACGATTTACTGTTGAACCAAAACAAGAGGAGGAGAACAACAACAACAATAAATATCGAGTTTTCATCAAGATCATACTTTGTTCATTTTCCGTGAATGCTCGTTGATCAGAAGATACATCATTATTTCCATTATTAAGTAAATTGGTTCGATTGGACGAAGAAACTTGCTGTTGTTTACCGTGACGATCACGTTTATATTCTTCTTTTAATCGATTAAATCGAGATTGATCAACGTCCCATTCACTACTATCTGTGTCTATGAAAAACAAATTCGATGTCAAAGATAATTTTAATCGAAACAAAACGTCAGCTTTGTTACCATTTGATTTGATTTCATTGATATTTGTAGTAGCAGCAGCATCTCCACTGAGAAAATCGAATTCATGCAATGCGGCTTCTTCACTGTCGAGATCATTGAGCGCATCAAGGCCAGAGTTATGATTTGTTGAGTTTCCGTTGTTCGGCTTAGGTATGATTCGACTCGTATCAATATCGTCATCGCTAAACGAAGGGAAATTTGAAATATTTCGTTTGTACATTCATTAATGAATACCTTGAATCTTCCTCAGGTTGATCTTCTTTGAGAAAAACAAGTGAAGCAAGAACTGATTTACTCATATCACTTGTCGCATTCTTGATAATATTTGGAATCATTCTAAACATGTTCTTTCATTATTTTCTTCAGGAATTATTCACAATCACTTCACCGTTTTCCTTCATTTATAGGCTTAACATCGCCGTTGAATCCCATATTATTATTATTGTTATTATTATTATTATTATTTCCATTGATGTTTGTTTCACTCTTAATTCCAAGTAATTTCTTAACAGCTGTTGAACGAATGTCAATGATCGTATCGACATAACCGATCTCTTTTAGATATCTAATTGAATCATCGTGTACATTAAACAGCATCATCTCCATTCAACCAACTTACTGTCGAAGTAATTGACGACCTTGTTTGAAGGAAACACTACTACCACCGAAAGCTAAATTAGGGTCTTCCTTATTATCATCTAATCGTACGAAAAACGAATAGTGAGATGTTTTTCGGCAACGCATTTTCACTAACCGTCATCAAAGTTTGGTGCTTCAATCGATGCTGATTTTTGTTCTTCTAATGGAATATTTTCACTGCCATACTTTAATTTATTAAACTTCAATCTAAATGATACATCGATATCTCAAGAGACGTTCGGCGTACTTTGATTACTCGGAAAAATGGGAATTCTCTATTCTCTAGTGATGAAAGTTATGAATTAGCGCAACGATTAATTATTCACCTTTCTTGTTTTAATGCGTATTCAAGCATCTTGATACGTCTGACGAGTGCGTTTTTCAGGTTTTCTTGTCCTTGTCTTTCGCCCTGAAGAAAAGCAATACGTGCCTAGAACAACGAAATAAATCATTGACGGCTTGCTGTGAAAAATCGCTGTTCGTTTTACTTGAAATTCAGCTCGTTCAGTTTCCCATTGTTGCCGTTCGATTTCAAATCTAGTCCATTCATGTTGGAGAAAATGAAGAATGCCAGGTACTGTATATAGTGGACGTTGAGACTCGACGTTGGCCATAGTCGACGGACCTGTTTGGGAATCTGTTTGATAAGTTAATTGTGTATCACTACCGTCCATTGAAGTTCATATCGGTGTAAAGATTCAACAGAAAGTGAAAAAAATAAATATTTATCTATATAGAACCGAATCTGAAATAATAACAAGCATGAAGAGAATTCGTTCGACATTTTATTCAATATTGAAAACTTCGATAGTTTTGAATTTCATCAACTATTTTTTGACATTCATCATCATCGAGTTTGCTGTCTAAAGATGGAATTAGTGTTTTCGCTTCCGCTGCCAGTTGTGGACAAAGATTAGCAAGTAAAGCAGCTTCGAATTTATGTAAAACAGGCGTAGAACTTGATGTTGCCATACCATTCGTTTGATCTTTGGGGAAGAGTAAATTCCTCACCGCGCTGATTGCTTCTTTTGTTTTAAATTTACTGAATCGTTCACAGTAAGCAACAATATCATTAAATGCTTCGGATGACGTGAGTTCGTCATCATCATCGTCTATTTCGTCACTGTTTTGCTGTTTTCGACGTTCTTCGAGCATTAACAAAACTTCCGAGATCATCATCGGTTCAGCTTTATCGAATTCTTTTGGAAATTTTAATTGAGCAGCATCGTCGTCATCCTATGTACGAGCAAAAACGAGATATTTTCCTCGGAAGAGTCTGTCACGATCAATTTACTTGATTCACATTTGCCATTGTTTGATATTAATTTGAAGTTCCAAATGAAAGTTCAACCGGCAAACAATAAACAAATAAACAATAAGAGTAGAAGAGAAAGAAGAAGAAAAGGATTTCTTGCTTCAAACGTGGGTATTATTAGGAATAATGATCGATGACAACTAATCAAAATTTCAAAAATCATATGTAACTTTTCCTTTTATATCATCAAAAACAAAAAACATTTTATTACGGGAAAAAACAAATTGGTTTTCCTTCTCGACGAAAACATTTGCTGTGACATCTATTCGAAATTATTCAGCGACAGATAGCGACATCTTTCCACGCATTCAACATAAGACAAGCAACAATGACTTTGCAGAGTTCTTTCCGGAAAGTATGAGATCTAAGAAAAACAAGGAGCGGGACAGTATTTGATAGATCGATAAGAAAGCCAGAAACATTTCCATGGTCATTTGTTCATCGGATGTTACTTCTTTTGTGATTGAAGATAAAGTATTGTAGACCAACTAAATTAGATATAAGATTGTAAGGGATATATAAACAATAATTTGAATTAATAGCATTGTAGTTAACTGACGATCACAATGATGAAAAAACATGAAGGTTTCGATTTTGATCACCTCTCTATTGACGATTTGATTTCTGGGCAACTGGACGAACAATACGATGTATTTTTCGTGAATTTTGATAGATCAGAATACTGAATACAATCATATAAGAGGAAACGGAAGAATGGCGGAAATAAAGCAAACATAAAACGAGTAATAGAGGGTAACGACTGTCGACTGCATTGACCCTACCGAACACTTGAAAATATAGGAATGTAAACGGGAATAACCTTCCAAACGATCGGTACGAGAGCAATAATTCACGGAGTCATTTTTCGACGAAAGAAATTACGTATTCGAGTGTCTCTTGATGAGTAAATATAACAACTTGTACAAGCGAAGTTTGCAAAAGACGAGATCAGCGTTTTCGAGTGCATGATCATGCAATGAATGGACTAATAGGACTAGATCATAGATTAAAAATAGCGTGTTAGTAAGCGAACTTGCGACGAAGAAAGTAGAGCAGGGACTAGGGGATAATTTTTTACGAAGAAACATGATACAGTTGAGAACATGTCCAATAATACCAATATTAAGAACAACAATCATCGTGTCAGTAACAAATCCTTGGGTGTCATTTAGATGGCTAATTATAGACGACATGTATCTACGTTGGAACACGAGAGACAATATGAACTTGTGAATTTTTTGTTGATTAAGTATGACAATGAGCGCTGATGAAAAGTACGTCATAAAATAGTAAAAGAAGTTTTGCAGCATATAAAATAATGAAAGCAATTAGCATGGAATAAATAAATAGATTGATGAACTCCGCGAGTATCACAAACGTTCTTTTAGAACATTTTTGATATTTTGGTATCGAGGATAGAACACAAAGTGCAAAAGTACGTTTTTCAATTTAATAAGTCCTTTATGTCGCCTACTGCTGAAGCATACAGTTTCTTGTTGCCTTCTAATAAATACCAGAAATTTGTCTATATAATACATTATAGATATTCGAATTCGAAGACTTGAGGACGACGATGTCTTCGTAATCGTTTCAGTGTCGCTGCGATCAGTCGTCATCGATACTTGCCTTTGATTAGAAATCTTTTGTAGTTGATGAAAATGAGATGTCTGGATTCATTTTGTTGAAAATATATTCACTTTTATTCTGTTTCTGACGCGCATGCGCTTTCTTTTTCAGAGTTAAAAAAACGAACGAAGAGAAATGAGAAAGAGAAACAAACGAAAAGAGAAGGGAAAATGCAGTTGTGCTAGTAATAATGATAAACACGCGAGAAAGAAAAGCCACAATGAAAAAACAGGCTGACATGGTTTATCATCATCAGAAATACTTTTCATTTGAACTGACCCGTCTATATGGATCGTGTAAGCAAGATCAAACACAAATATACATAAGAAAAGAGAAGGATACATCGAAGTACATACATATTATAGACAATAAGAGCCAGTCTGTCATGGGTTTTGATGAGACATACGAACGTGAACATTGCTGCTGGTGTAGATTTTTTCAAAGTTACAAGCGAGAGAAGAAAACAAAAGTAGAAAAAAAAAGATGATGAACGTACAGATTTTTACAAGACAGAAATAAATAATAAGATGAAAAAGAATCTGTTGCTATCGGATGTAATGCTGAGTTGCTTTTCTCATGTTTCTCATCTAAAAATTGCCTATTCTGCACATATACAAGAACAAATAGATTTGATCCGGGTGTAAACACAGTCTGCCAAGCAGGTCATAGTGGACAAGGAATTTCCCATGAATCAGATCGGAATCATCGACAGTGAACCGGGTCGGTTCACTCTTGAAACAAAAAGAAAAGAAGAGAAAAGAGCTACATAGACACACTGTTAAAACAGAAGAAATGAAAATGTGAAGAAGGACTAGTGATCGGTGTTTAAGATCGAGGATGATGATGCTGCTGCTGCTGCTGTTGCATTGACTTATTCTGTTGAACTGGTGATGGTGAGATTCGTTGATTCAAACTACTATTAACAACCGATGGAGAGTTTGGACGACGTGATGATGTTGGCGTCATCTTCGACGAGACGTTACCGCCGACATTCTTAATAACAACATTAGGCGAAATATTCTCCATTGGCTCATCGTCTTCTAGATCATCACTATTGGAACCAGCATCATCGTTTTCCTAAAGCACACAAGTCATTTCTAAATGCAGAAGAATAGATATGAAGAGACTGACCACCATTTCAGGATATAGTTCAACAGCTTTGTCAAGTAATGATCGAGCGCTTTGAGTTCGTTCAATGAAACATCTTTTCAAACAAAGTAGATAAAATAAATAAATTTTACTATTAGTATTTTTTTTACCCCTGTGACATATCATTGCTGGTAACAGGTCCTTGAGATGCATAATAGGGATAATTTGTTTGTATATTATTATATGACCGCTAGAAATAGACACGAATTAATATGCAGAAAGACGAAAAATGGTTCCTCTTACGTCTAATTGTTCATGCAACCAACGCACAGCTTGTGACCAACGTTGTTTCATATCTGCATCAGTTTTTAATATATGATTAGCTTTTTGACAACTAAACATAGATATAAAGAAGAGAATGTCCATGACGAATATGAGAAAGAATTTACTTTGAAAATAATTGTACGAGAGTTTTGATGCAATGGTATGCTTTTTTCTGCTGTGTTGATTTCGATTTGACAAACATATCGAATAAATTTTGCGGAGTCGATTCATAACCACAACTTGTTGTCGGACTTGTTCCTGACGCGTTCGGCGTATTTGACATTGGAACGCCTTTCAGTGCATAGAGTAATCGAACTTCTTGCCAAGAATCCTCCGTGATCAAAATTGTATAAAGCACATCAAGATGAGCACGAAAATCGTATGTATGATACATTGAAAGCTAGAGAAGAACAATTGAGTTGAAAGATTATGAAATAAAAGCACCTACTAGAGTGATGATTTCATTGAGTACGACAGATGTGACTTCGGGATTTTCCCAAATGAGAAAACGAAGCAGGCGAAGCGATTCTTCACAAGAACCAGAATTTTCGATAATCTTTTTCAGAAATATATCTCGTTTGTAGATTATATCAGCCATTTGATGTGGCATAGGACAGATTGGATCATTGTCATGTGTGTAGTATGGATTGGGCAAGAGTGCAACGTCGGACTAGATTACAAATGAGAATAATGAATTCGAATGGAGAGAAAAGCACGTTATTTACTTGTCGTGATCTACAATGGCTAGAAACATCGAAACAACGAATTAATGTTGAAAGTATCACAAATAGTTTGGCTGGTTCGCCATAACGAGGTAATGTTGAACACGACGATGAGGAACTATCATCATTGGCAAGATTTACAAATAATGTTGGAACATTAAGACGTATTAATTGTTCACACTTACAGAAAAGTATACATAGAAATTCGATATCAAACGATTTTTAGATGTCAACTTACTTCATGACGACCGATAGATGAATAATTAACAAAGAATTGAAAGTATTGCGTAAGCATTTTGACATTATCCGGCATTTCCTTCTTAAGTAACCGTAAGACGTGATTAAGTATCGATTCTTCTACAGTTAAATAAGTCTTAATATCATCTATTGATACAGAGAAGAAAATCAATTCTTTGTGTTTCATCAATAATTGAACAAACCTGTGCTAATGTCTGTTGTTTGTTCATCTTGTCGAGAGTGACTAGCCAAAGCAACAAGCATTTTTCCAAATGCATTACGAATCTAGGTGAAATTATTCAATTCGAATGATCGTCATGGACAAAAATGAAAGAACTTACTTCAGCAGATGTACAATCAATAAGATATTCTTGAAAACGACTTGGATGTTTAAATAGCACTTCTTCTGCGAGATAGTATCGAGCTTTTCTTGACCAACGAAGGCAGTGTATAATCAATTCAGTCCATTCATTAGCAGGTCCACTAGAAAAGGAACATTGGAATAGTAAGAATATCTGGTAGACTCAACAAACCGCAGAGCTTTCTTCGTTCGCCAGCCAATTGAAAAAAGAAATTTTGTAGCGATTTCGACACTGACCAAAGCTAGTTCTTCGATCGTTTCAATAGTCTGAAATAGATATTCGAAATTAAAATAGACAAAAATATCAAGTGGAATTACATTAGTCAGAGTCAATTTATCCCCATGCGATTGTTGTTGTTGTTGTTGCTGCTGCTGTTGAAAGAATGTGACTATAACTTGAACATTACTTTGAACAAGTCGTTTCATAAAATGGAAATATTCTGGACTGAAATGTATACGATTGTGAAGGAATTTAATATTTTGTTTTCGAACACTGCGTTGAACTGAAAGTGGCATTCGCTGAGTTTGATCATCTATTTGCGATTGAAAAGTCAGTATGAACATCAACAAAATTATCGAATAAACGTACAGAGTTGTAATCGAGAAAGATTTTTTTCTAAACTATTCTCGCTTTCAATTTGTTCAGTAGTCATCTGTTCATAGAATAGAATGTAGGCGTTCCACCATCGACGTTGACTGAAAAAGATGTGAAGATGCAATAGGATACAAATGACAAACCGTCTTCATACCGTTTCATCACTGGCTGATCGAATGATTGTGCTGGATAATCGCCACCAAAACATTGAGATCGAAGTTCTTCATCATCATCCATTTTGCATTCGCTTACGTCCGTATCATCAAATTTATACCAGTGCAAAGGATCTGATGGATTTGATTCTTCTCTACAATGAATTAAAAAGCAAATGTCCGGTTCTCTCTCCTTCTTTCTCTTTGGGCTCAACAAACTTATTCTGTACGAATGAATAATAATGACCACCGTTTGCTTGTCCACTGTGCACAATAATACCAACAAGTTTATATCTTGTGCCTCCATTGTTTGATTTCGAATCGTCATCAGCACTTTCATCAATCACCGACATGCCTAAAATGAAACTGACGGATGTATCGATGAACCTTCGGTGATATTTACCTTCAGCTTTTGCGAGACCTTGTACTGTGTATGGTTCCATATCTAATTCCCTGGGAAACTCGAAATAATCATTGAATTTTATCGGTGTTTCACGTTCCCAGTCATAATCGAATCGTTTAAGTTGAATAGCAAGAACGGGTGGTAACTTTTTAAAGCAAGTTCGTTTTATTGTGTCCACCTACATCAGTCAAAAACTCGATTTCCACTCCGAATGTTATCATTTTTTCCTTTTTTACCTTTTTATTGCATTTTTCACAAAAATAAGCGTTAGGTCCATCGAGCAATTCTCCAATAACATACTGTTCAAGAGATTCTTTCAGATTTTGACTATGTCGAATATCTACACTTATCAATGTAAAATCTTCCTCACGTGAATAGCTGAAAAAGAGGGAATGATTGAAACGATGTACAATCGATTTGATCAAAGCCGACTTACCGATGTGGACAATCTTTACATATCTTTTGATCAGCAAATGTTCCGCCTAATACTTGTGAACATATTTGCGGTAAATTTAGAGATTTTAATGCTTCATCAATACTATCAACAACAGTGTTCAAAAATTCGACTGCATCGTGTTGATCACGTAGATTCACCGGTTCTCCAGAAAATCTTTAAAAGAAAATTTCAATTCAAATCTCAAACATTGGTCTTGTTTGCCATTGAACTCACTTGAATATTTTCCAAAAACCTCGGGGAATATAAAATTGTAATTTCGATTCAAGCAAGTGTCCAAATATCCACTGTATATGACGAAAGATTTGAATATTATATTCATTTCGTTCGTTGATAGTATTCTTTGGTGATGTTTCCGTCGTATTCGTTATTTCTTGCTGTTTCGTCGGTGATGTCATCGATTGACTATCTTTGAGAAAGAATTTTGTATCGGAGAACGAATCAAACTAAATATGAATCGTAAAGTACGTATATGCAGATGAGATTTAGTCAGCATACGTTATCTCGACGTTGATCATCATCGTCTGTTTCATCATCGCCATGACCAAGTGGAATCTTTACCGATAACAAGGCAGTACGTAATGGACGAATCATAAACAGTTGTTGAAAAACCGAATTCATATAACATGTTGCACCGCCGTTTTTCAAACCTACGAAGCTACGATTTGGACGTGGACCAACAAGTGGCGCAAAATCCCATTCGTTCAAACTGGAATCAGGGACTAAAAACGAATGACTTTGTCAAACATACACATCCGAATCCAAGAACATTTACCTGTATAGAACAGATCAGTGATATATTTATCGATAAGTTTCAAATTTTCAATACAGTTCGTTCCTAACACAACTAGCAAGTCAAATGCTGCTAATGTTGACATTGGTGTTTGGCAAATAGCGACAGGTGGCTCTTTAAGTAGATCCAGTTCATTATCTTCCTCATTATGCGTCGTTTCAGTGGTCACGATTGATTGTTTTGAAAGTCGTTTTCGTCGTAACAAACGAAAGTTATACAGTAAAGTAGATGCCGGGAAGAGATATTGTTCCACGATCTGTTGAATTAACGTTTGATCGATTCCATAGTAACGTTTTCGTTCGCTTGTTTGAAATTGCAATAATTCTTTCGCAATATTGATATGTCCACGAAGTAAATGATCATCAACTGGTAATGAAATGTGTTTCAAGTATTGTATTTCATCGTCTAGTTGTTGATGAATGTTCGGGGGAGAAATACCTCGTGAATATGCATAGGATAATAAACGGCAGAGGAGAAGAAAGAAGTCGGATGATTGTGATGAATAATGTTTTAAATTTTCTGAGGATTTATTCAAGAATTGAAATTGTTTTTGAAGGATAAATTGAATTAAGTTTTCACATTGTCCTTGAGAGCAACGAGATGTGAGAAGAAAGATTTGCTCCGATGATGTATGACGAATAATTTGATATTGACAGTAGAGAATTAAATCAATAAAAAAGTATTCAAAAAAGTGTTCTTTTAACAGATTTTCGACACTTGATGGTACAAGTGCCAACGAAATACATAACAATTCCAGACCTTCTCGGCAAGCTAATTGACTTTCATCGTCTTCTTCATTATCATCGTTCAATTCAGAATTTTCATTCGGACGAAAGTTTTCCTGTTTGAATGTTTGGTGAATAACATTGAAATCATTCTTCAAATTCATTTCCAACGAGTTCTGTTTCGAATCTGCTGCTAAACACCAGATGAGCCGAATGAATTCTTTTATATGGTGATATTGCAACAAGGAATTCTTCGGTATGGGATAATCCATTCGATGTGCAATCAATGTTGTGGCAATCTTCTGTTCCACAGACATCGAAATATGTTGTTGTTCACCGACAATGTTCATCACTGGTAACGGAATCGTTGGCATAATACTTAAAACTTGTTCTAAGGATTCGTCGAATGGCGATGGAGTACTTCCATGAGTCGATCTCAATTGGTAAATGACGAGAATGATTAGAAGTCGTTTGAGAAGGTAAAGAACAACGAAATAGATCGACTTTCGCGTGGAAACATCGCATTCGTCGGTGTAATGTTTTTCTGATAAGATATTTAACAAACATGCTAAGCCACCTGCGTTTAAGAATCGAACGTGTAAACCTTCGACATGATTACTATTTTGTAAGCATATTTGGTGAATCTGTGCTGGTAAAAAGTTGATCAATGTAGTTTTGAGATTATACAGCATTTGTGACGGTGATACGTTGAAATAGAAGTGATTTAAACGTGCTAAACATTCGTCAGCTGTGGGCTGTTCATTGTTGGCAGAGAGGAGAGTGAAACAACTGTTTAAGGTTTTGGTTGCATGAGAATCCATGGGTATCAAATCGAGAATATGACGAGATGTATCGCGAAGGCGAGTATTACCTTCTTTGCAAGCTAAATCAGCAATATCAATTAGAAATTGATAATATTCGTGTTTTTGAGAGAATATCTAAACGCACAGAAATGTTTTTCGAATTCAAATTTGAAAGAAGTTTCTCTTACCACAGATGGTAATGCACTTTCAGCGTTGATATCGATGAAATCCGAACTACGATTATGATGTGATGTTGATGCTAATGAATTGTTATTGTTATTGATTTCTGATTCCGATGAACTACTTTCACCGCTTGAACCACCATGATTCTGATGTTGAACCCAACGTGCTGTCACGGTCTACATGGAACAGAATTTCGTTTTGTTTTTTTAGAAGAAAACTTTCATTGTCATACAATTCGATCTCGATCATCAGTTTGTCCTAATGTTCTGTTATCGTCAGTTGAATAGATGATTTCATTGTTACGATACAATTCAATGATGCCATAAGCCGATTTATATCTAAATGGAATTGTGTTGAAAGAAACATTCGATTAAATAAGGCAGATGGTACCGATTATGTATAAATCGTCGAATATGTCCCCATGTATCATTCGAGTGGAATCCATGTTCGAAATCATCAGTTCGATTTTGTCCGGTATTAACACGAATAATCAATGTCATTGCTCGTCCACGAAATGCTCTGAAACATACATTTACAATTTTATCTTCAGTTTTTCATTCATCTTACCTTGCCATTGGTAATATCGACCGTTCTTTATGATATGAATTATCACATTCAGCTAAATATTCTCTTAAAACAATTAATATTCGTATTAATGAATTGAGTTTAGGTTGATATTCCTGTTTGGAATCTTGTTGCGTATGCATGAGTTTCACACTGTCGTAAACTGGACGTAAACGTTCGAAACAGTCACTTATGAAGGATTCATGAATGCGTTTGACATCGGTTTTTAACTGTGGATTTATATTTGTATAGATCTCGCGCATTAATTGAATACCGCGATCAGCGACTTCGTCGGAACCATTGAGAATCAATTTCCAAAGATATTCGATTCCGACGAGATCTTCGTCGTTCATCAAACGAATAGACCGACGCTTTTGCTGTAGTTTGTTTAGTTGCGCATTGACAGATTTGAAAAATCGATCGAAACAACTAACAGAATCATAAATAGTTTTGTGGAAAACGAATATCTCTCAAAGAAACTCTTACTTCATGCCAAGATCAGTGAGAAGATTTGGTTCAAGTTTCATTAGATGATTTTGAAAGAAATCTTTTGCTGCTTTTGGTTCGAAATCATCTTCGTCGATGATCTGAATAATTTCAAAAGAAAAGCAAATTAGCCATTTGTAAATTTCGACTTCCTTACTTCAGCAAACCAGCGAAAACATTGTTCACGATCATTGGGATAAAGTGCCTGTTCAGCTAAACTAATCCAAATCATTTTCGAGTGCTCCGCTGACAAATACAATCGTCCTTCTTTCAAAGTAAACCTTCAAAACAAAACACCCAATCATCTTTCCATTATTCACATCCTGAAACGAAATCTTTTACTTGAGAAAATTCAATCGTTCGTGGATTTGTTGATTATGATTGAATCGTCCATCTGCATAGTACTCTTCCGGCACCAGATTACCTTTTCCTTCGCTTTCTTTATACTTCCTTGCTGTTTCCATATATTGACAAAGATTTTCAGTCACAATCCGAGTTAGTTCATATTTCTTCTCTAGGATATCGATAACACCCGTTCGATTCTGCGGTCCAGGCATTCGCGCGATATTTTGTGCAAAAACTCCTTCATGAAACTGCATACATATCTCTCTTAATTGTTTCAACGAGATCATCACATGGCCACGATCATGTTTTACTTCATCCATGAATTTATCCAGCCAGATCAATTTGGTTTTTTCCTTTTCTTGTAAACAACTGTAATCCAGAATCTTCAAATGGGCGGTTAATGCTTGATCGATGATCTCATTGGGTAGATTTTGATCATGAGCAATATTCCATAACAATTCTAACACTTTGTTCGCCATTAAACCTTCCTTATCATCTTCGGCTAATCGACGGATCAGTTCGAGTAACTTTTCTCGTTGTTTTTTACTGGCCTTGGTCCAGCTCTCTCGAAAACAGTCGAAGAGATGTTCGAGTTGTTCAGGCGAAAAGTCCCATGCTAATTTCGCAAGTAAATCATGAACGTTCTTTTCAATCGCTTCATGCTTTCCACATGATGAATTCCAGATTTTGTCTAAATCAGTTCGGCTTAATGCTTGTTCTTTAATAATAAATCGAAGAATCTTTTCTAATTTCTCTACATATTGTGGCTGATGTAGACAATCACGTAGAACGATATCGAGAACTTGATTCTCTTGAATCCATTGCTAAAGAGATCGATAGCAATGATGAGATTAGACAAAATCAATGTCTCTTACGATTAATTTCTCGGCAGTTAAACTTTCCGGTTCTTCCGAACGATTTAATGTTGATCGTTGAATTGTATTAAGACTCATGATTAATTTGTTAACTTCGTTGAGAGCATTCATTTTACCACTGAATGAGTTCGTTTGAAGAATTCTAAAGTAAAAACAAACGATAAAATTAATAATCTTTTTCGATGTCCTCTTCACCTTAAGATCATCTTCAGTCTAAGCGTATCTAGATTTCGACATTCTTTTTCGTTGTCCGGTATTCGTGAAGCGAGATAGCGTAGCCATCTAATAACAGTTGATAATGTATCACTTTTCGGTTCAGTCTTCGTTTCGATTTTCAGGTCATTTTCCGTTAATTGATCGAGAAATTGTGGAACAAAATTCTACAAACAAAAAAACAAATTCAATATTTAACGTTGAGAACAAACAAATCTAACATACAATAATCGGAGCAAAGTATTTCTTAACAGTTGTATGGGTTAAATATTCATAGCAGAGACCCCAGGGTTTGAGTAAAGCAACAACAACAGAGATGGTCAACTTGTTTTCCGAGGATAAAAATCGAGTTGAAATTTTATCAAAGCCACCTAAATCTCCAAATCGATTGATGAAGTCAATTAACCAACCCTGGAACAAAAAAGCCATCCTCCTAGAATCAGTTTCTTCGAATGAACACATCGAACTCTTACTCGTTGTTGCATGCGATATTCATTCGATACAGCGAAGATTTCCTTTTCAGGCGCTAATTGTAAATCACTGATTCGACTATGGTTTGATTGGTGAAATCTATTGAAAGAAACTGCGTATATATGGATTTCCAAGAGCAGAATCAAACAAATCGTACCGGCAAGAAGGATTCATTAGTAAACCAAGAACTTCAAGCAATGGCAAACAATCATCTTCTAATTTTAATACACACAATTCAATAAAAACCATACAATTTTGATAAATGTATTTCTAAACATATTAATCAAATCATTTTTTTTCTACTTGAAGAAAGGTTTGTCACGTACGAATATTTCATGTTTCCATGTTTGTACAGCTTCATCACAAAGAACTTTAGTAAAAGAATTTACAAGACTATCTCGGATAAATCGTTGACAAGAATCACTCTTTGTATCAACTTCTACAAATGAAAGAAGGAGTTTTCATCAATCGATCAGCTAGTTGTCTTTACTTTGCGACGCTAGACGAACTGCAGCTCGTAAACACTTGATTAATTCTCCATCGGGTAAGACAGGTACAACCCATCGAGTTTGATTTAATTGTTCTTCGAGCTTTATTAAATCGTTTAGTGGAAATTTCACTTGACCATGTTCATCGTAAATACTGTTGTCTTCTATTTGAGATGCTGATTGTTCGTTGTCTTCCTCGTCGTCGGATGGTTCATTCTCTTGAATAGTTGAACTAATATAATCCGGTGGTAGTTGTTGCTGTTGCTGATCGGTCGGATCAGATAATTCAAGTGACTGTTGACCATTATCATCAAGTAAGGGTGATCGAATCGAATGATCTTTTGCTGTCATTGAAACTTGTCAGTGGGAAATAAATGAGCTATTATTTAGAAAACGGGATGTTGGATGATGCGCCTAAAGCAAAGCGCACGAAAGGGGAAAAAAATCTAGAACGTAGATCACCATGTGCAATCTGATGAATCACATTTAGTAAAGAATGAAAAAACAACAACAACAACAGCAAGAAAATTTAATGTCGATTCCCTCGATGGACTAAAGTAAACACAACTGTTGAAGAACAAAAACAGACGTCGTATCAGCTGATAGTCCGAGAGAATTTTTTCACGAGGAAACAAACGAGCACATAGTCTCGAAACAGTTTAATTAGGAGAAAACAACAATAAACAATATCAAACAAATCACATATCTCATTTTATAAACAGCGAATAAATAGAAGTAGAAAGAACATTCAGCCAGCCATTCGAACCAGACGGAAGTCTCACTATGATGATTCACCGAAGGCAACAAGATAGGAGGATGAATGAATGCATGCATGTGTGTCTGTATATATTTGTTGTTTACTATCAACTGGCGACATTTTAGTTTTCCTTGCCAAAATCAAGATGGCGGCAGCAGTGTGACAGGAAGTTCACCTCTCTGCATCATATAGTGACCATTTGCTGAACTGGTAGACAAAAATAGATCGTTTTTTCGATTGAAAAAAATAAATTGAGTTCTTTTTTGCCAGATAGGTATATCGTTTTTCAATTTAATACAAAGAATCTCCTTTGAATTTCACAATGCACTGTCGATCGTCTCAATATTTTCCGAAGTTTCATCTAAAAATCAACCGAACGAAAACATTTCCGTCAACATTCAGCGATCATTTGTAATTTATGACATGATTGGGAATTGCATGCGAGTGTATGAAGAAGGAAAGTTCAATTCTCCACAGATTATGCAATTACTATTGCGAAAAACACTCAAGTGTAAGATAATAATTCATCCTCTCTCCATCATTTCACTTTGACAAGATCGCGAATATCCTCCCATCCAGTTTGATAACACTTCGAAAAGATCGCGAATATCCTCCCATCCAGTTTGATAACACTTCGAAAAGATCATTTATTCTCACTATACAGTGCTCATTTCTGTTCGATACTGAAAGGAAATCGTAATCGAGTCATAACTATGTTATGATAATTATATAACACGCCCATGTATGAGCAAAATATCAATTCAATTCACAACAGAACTGTCTCAGTAAATGCTTCGTCTCAGTACTTATATCCCAAGTTGACGATAGATGGCGCTGGTGTACAGAGTGATTTTATTTTTGAAATTTTCGAAAAACAAATACGAAATTTTCTCCGTAGGATTTTCGATAAATTTTTCTCAAATCAACTTGTCAGACAAATCCGATCTATTCCTATTGGTTCATCGATGGTGTTTAACCGTGTTTATTCATTGATCCTTTCTCTCCAGTCATTTCTTCTCATCTTTTGTTGTCTTTCCTCTTCTCACGACGAAAACAAACTAATTCATGTGTGAAGTAACATCAGCGAATTTTTCGCATTTGTTCCCATTAATTCTCCAACAAATCGACAAATCGTGTTTCCTATCACTTGATACCGAGTTCAGTGCCATCGACAGCAATTCTAGTCGGAGAAATCTTCAACAATTCTATAAACAAAGTTCAAATTTCATTCAACAAATCACAGTCTTTCAATTTGGTCTAGCAGTTTTTTCTAAAACGTCCAATCAACATCGATATCATGTTGACATCTACAATTTTTATCTTAAACCAACATCTGTGAATCCAATTGATGTTCAATTTATCATTCAATCATCATCAATCAAGTTTTTGTCAGAGTACAAGTTCGATTTTAACAAATGTTTTTACTCAGGAATATCTTTTCTCAACAAAGCTCAAGAAAAACGTTTGTATGCGACAAATGAACAAATGACGAGTTTATCAGTAAATGAACGACGGTGTTTGAATACTCTATTTGAACAAATCAATCAGTGGTTAATCAACGCTGATCTTGGTGATCGAATAGAATACAATTTATCAAAGAACTATCAAGACGTTTTAAATGATTATTTAATTCAACGAGAAATTCGTCGATGTTTTAAAACAATTTGGGCAAAGATTCAATTGACTGATTCGAACAAAATACTTGTCATTGAACACGTGACGCGAGATGTCTACGAACAAAGATTAAAAGATAATCACGATGATGTTCTATCATTCATTCAATCATTAACTGGTTTTACAAAATTGATACGATATATCCAAGATAATTACAGAAAACCAATAATAGGTTAGTCAAAATAGTGTTTTATTTCTATGAGAGATCGCTTTCGTACTTGAAGTAACCTGCATGTTATACATTAGATCAGGACCTTTGCCTACCAGCTGTTATCTACTCTAAGCCTAAGGGTGTCTTATCACTTGTTGAAAAGCGACCAAGGTCGAACAGCCGTTTCACTTAATCCGAACAGGAAGAGATATAAACTACATCTTCGAGTGTTTTTTGTCAGAAATATCCGACAAATTTCAAGAGAAAACGAGCCCTTCTTTTCGTGATATCTTATTTATGTGATTGTCGTTACATCTCGTTTAGCTTTCTACTCATGTCAGAGAAGGAAAGCAACATCACTTACATTCGATTGACTATCGATCATGTTAGTATCTATTCTATTTAAGGACATAATTGTTTTCTCGATTGGCTGATTATTTATGACAAATTTATCGATACACTTCCACCGAAGTTCGAAGATTTTCAAATGCTAATCAATAAGAATTTCAATTGTTCGATCTTTGATACGAAATATCTGGCATTGCAGATGCGAGATTATCTATTTACACGTCGACATCGGCAAAATAATAGCAATTATGTGGAGAACTTTACCACATCTACATCACTTGAATCGCTGTACGAGTTGTTAACATCGAAATATTATGAGAATCTTATCTTTTTGAAACCAATTATCGAGATGAATGCCGATGATCGTTACCAAAATGAAGTTCGAGTATGGAAATATCTTTTTGTATGCCTTTCCTCTCTATGAATATTCATTTTTAGACACATGAAGCTGGTTACGATGCTTATATGTCTGGCGTCATCTTCCTCAAACTGATTTACTTGTACAAACAAAAAAGAGTCGATAAAATCGATTTCAATGAACATCAATGCGTCTTCGATATCTGCTTAAATGAAATGAATTCATACAAAAATCGCTTTTACACTTCCTTTCTTCCGTACATATCTTTGAATCATTACGATAAAAACGTAAGTTGTGAACAGAAATTACAGCAATGTCTTGTTGTAGAACATCATAATCATGAACAACTTGATCTGTCAGATCTAATCTCACGGTTTGATACATATTGTGCTATGGAGTATGAAGTTAGTCGAAATGGGAAAAGAATTTATTTGTTATTTCAATCGGAATTCTGTGAACGACGAATATTAAAAGATTATTTCAATCATCCGGTTTATAGAGTCGAAAAATTTCAATGGTTTCAACATTCATCGTTGATTAAATATTCATTTTCCATATCAGTTTTATTGACTGGTGTTTGTCTCATCGCTCTAGTCAAATGGCGAATGTGATCATTTTGTTTCAAGTAAAAGAGAATCTTCCGGTCTCCCAGCAGTTTTTGTTTTTGTTTTCATGATCAGAATGAAGATGAAAGCTATGGGTGAATGCATAGATGTTATTTATGGATGACCGAAGAGGGATATCTTCCTTTTCCTTATTACCATTATAGTTTTCATCGATAAGACTGAGCCTTTTTCTTCTCTCTATCTCTCCATTCCTTCCCACAATAGTCTATTCTATTCTATTATTGAGCATATAAAAGATAAAGAATAGAGAATATGTACATACATATGTATATGCAATGTCGGACATTGTATATACAGATATACCATCGATAGTAATTAAGCATTTCATTCTCATCAATGATTTAGACTAGAAGTTTCAGTTACCAAGATGATTAAGATGTTTAATTGAAGTTAAACAGAATTTCCAATGCTACTTCACTTTTGCTCTTGTTGATCTTCTCCACATATTCGCCTGCTTGCATGATAGAGAGAGAAAAAGATCATGGATCATCGATAATCTGCTATTGATTTGTCGACTAATTCATTGACGTGTTTCTCTTGATATCCCGCGTATTTATAATTACATTGCTTCCCAATGTTAATGGTACTAGTGGCATTACTTCTGCAGACGAGAGGATGGTTTTCATTATCTGAACTTTTCATAATACCTGTCTTGATCGATCGAATGAAAATCGCATTTTTCTTCTTTTATACTTCCGATGTATTGGTATTCATAGTTAATCATATCATACTTTAGAAAATTCCTATTGATTTTCTCGTCGTTTTTCTAACGACAATGTTTTGTCTTGTCATTTTCTCATAATTGCCGTCGTTGTTAGATGCTACTACTACTGCCGTTGTTCTTCTTCTTCTGCTTCTTCTTTTCCCTCTTTTTCCTCCTCCTTCTTCATCATCATCATCATCGATAGGGTGTTTTCACATTAGAGCAACGAACGCTATTACTTGTGCTTGTTCATCATCTTTATGCGATGGATTTTCTTATTTCTTGTTCTTCTATTTCTTCCCTTCTCTCTCTCCTCTGCCTTTCCCTCGTCTTCTCAACAACGTACACAGCTGAATCTATTCTTTTCTTTCTTTCTTTCTTCTTCGTTTTTTGTTTTCTACTGATTATAGTGAGCACAACAGCTAAAAAAGAAGGATAATAGAATGAGGAGACGAAGCAGCCACAGCAGTAGAAGAAAAAGAAGAGGAGGAGGAAAAAAATCTTAATCACATTTTTACTATTCGCTAACACCATCATCACACAATATCCATTTTCTTCATCACTGTTGTTGATGTCTGTCTTTACAACATCGAAAACTGATACGACACGGACAAATCTCGCTGAAAGACTTATTCGAACACTGACGCAATAAGAGGAAAAAAAGGTTCGATTCCATCTTTTAGGTCCAAGTCGTCTGTCATTCATTTCTCGTCGTTCATTGCCAATCAATCAATAATGGATAGTGTGAAATGGTAGCAACGTGTGCCATGTTTTCTTCTTTCCCTTGTCTGTCATTCTTCGTCTGGCGACTTTCTGTAGTATACATCGAGTAACAGAAATGAATTGTAATTGCTGCTCACTTAAGTATCGTTTAGAGAATTGAGAGGAGGAGAAGACGAAGAAATCAGAATAAGATGAACTTTAGATCTCTTGCATTCAATGCATTGATTATTGAGAAAAGAAGGCGAAAACGGGATGAAATGTCCAATATTGATTTCAGGAGAAGACTTTATTCATTCAATATTACCTTCTTCATTTTTGTTTCTATTTTCAGATATATTTCTTTGTTTTTCCGATTCTAATCATGATTTTCTTCAATTATCTATCATCAGACATATTTAATTTGACAATGTATGTTAATATTTGATGACATCGATTTTTACAGATCTATTTTCTTCCCTTTAGGTAGCATAAATACATTGGAAGTTTATTAATAAGACTTTCGTTATTCGTCGATTAATTCGTCTAGTTTTTCTTCGAAAATGTATGCCGATATGATATGTGATGTTATGCCGCCCATACCTGAAGACACTGGTGGCAATGGCAATCATGGTGAAGGTACAGGATCAGACAATGGCGAAGAAGCTGAAGCCAATATCGAACAGTTAATGGTATCAATGCTTGAAGAACGTGATAAAGTAATTGATTTAATTGCAAGTCGAATCATATATACATTTGATTGTTTTCTTCGCTCATTAGTTACAAGAAAGACTACGTGAAACTGAGGATACTTTAAATACGGCACAACAGAAATTAATTGAAACTGAAAAAGAACGCGATGTGTTATTTCGGCAATTATCGCAAAATGCACCACAGGTTTGTCTATTAATTTCCTTATTTTTCAATTGATTGTGTTTGTGAGCACCGAAACATTCGTAAATCAGATTAATTTAACTCAACACTTCGCTATACATTTCGATCAATCAACATAAAAAGTTAACAAGTGGTTAAAAACCTGTCATCGATCGGTGACAGATCGATATCTACTTACACTCTTTCTATGTCTCGTTTCTCACCAATTGACGTAAGCGCAAAGGTTATTTTGGTCATTTGTGAGTCTTATCAAATCGAAGTTTCATTTTACGTCTTTGATCGCATCTATCGATCAAGGTATCATTTACATTCGTCTATTTATCTCAATTAATAGTAAACGTTGATGTACTTGACGATAACTAACGTTTATTTGACTTCTTTTTCACACCGAATCTGACGCGTTTGTACAAGCACCTGATATAATCAAAAAAGAAATCGGGATACACAGTAAAGGCCATGTTGTTTCTGATTAACACTTTTTCGCTTTATCAATTACTCATATGTCAGCGAACGACCCTCGAAGTACTATTTGGATAAGAAATAATGAAAAAAAGTCGTAGTTTGATATATTCATTTGATGTTTTATCCGTAAATTTCATAGTCATCCTCTCATGATGATCAAACAATAGTGATGAGATTGTTCATTGTTGTTCTTCCCTTCGTTTTCTCTTTTTTCTTCTTCTACATCATCGTCTTCTCCTTCGTTCTCAATTCTATTCATCGTTTGATTGTTTGCTTGAATATTATATTCATAAGTATCAATGGGAATTGACACACAAACCTATATTCTGATGTAATTTAATATAGTAAATGAAATGTGACGCTTTATATGAAAGACTTGTTATAAGATTAAAAAAGAAAGCCTTTACTCTATAGTCTCGTTTACTAGCAGCAAACAAACATATGAATAATTGGAATACATCATCGAAGATAAATAAATGTTAGTTTATACATGATCGATGTCATACTGTCGGTTGACATACTGTTTTCATTGTTCCATGTCGACTTAAAATATAATTGACATTGTAGAAACACTAGTGCAATGACAATAGTCATTTTAACAATAAACAAAAAGCTATATATTAGTCTTTGTTGACGCATGAGATCTATTTCTGGGGCATTTGCTTACTTATTATTCGGCCCCTCTTTTTTTTTTGTCGGTTTCGATTGATGACAATACTAAGTGGCATCGCCTGCATGCTTTCATCTCGACACGTCGATTGTGATATCGACCTTCATTCGTATTCTTCGACAGCACTATCCAACTCACACATTGGTATACATATTCACCAAATCAACCGTTTAATGCAAGGACATATTAATTGCTGACAACGATCGTTTAATGATGACACGATTTCCAACTTGTTGCGTGTCGTGATGATGTTTGAACCACTTCAATAAACAATTCATCGTGACATTAATTTTCACTTCTATTTATTCTCTTAAGTATGGTAGTAAAAGCAACCTGAAAAGAAAAAGAAAGTAATAGAATGAGAGAGCGAGAGAGAGAGAGAAGGAAATAGAGAGAGAAAGATAAATAGCGAAAGAAAGAAGATCAGAGCAGAGAAACGAGAAGCAATTCGTTGATTATTTAACTCTACCAACGAACGAGTATACATACTTGTATTTACGTACATATATGTTTGATCAAACCTAAAGAATCGACGTACATACATACATATACACAATTGCTGAACTATGATGAACGTCGACTGTCAATCAAGTTCATTTCTTTTTGACAATCCATCGCAGTATTTACCGAAAATGAATTCATCAACCAATTTGAACGATTATTTGAAAAATAATATCTCGCTTCAAACACTTTTAACACCTACTCAAGATGACAATGACAATAATGATGAAGACGATGAGGAAATATTAACTGCGACAAGTCCAACAACGATGACAAGTTCAGATAGTAGTGATAGTGCAATTGTTTCTGATGATATCGATGATTTCGATCTACTTAATCACGAAAATCAAGTATTTTATCGTAATTCATGGCCGAAAATTCTGGAAAAAGCCGACTTAAAACTTCCGTTGACATTGTCAACTCTTTCGCATTCGTTCGATATCTTGAACGAATTCGAACAGCAACCTATTTATGACAACTCGCCCGACACTGATCTGCAACAAAAATATAAACGTCCACTACCTTGGTTAAGCTCAAGTTCGAATATAAATAATTCTCCGTTGGCTTCTTCGACATCAACGCATGAATTAATCTCGAATAAGGTTCTCTATTCTTTTATTCCCAGAAAAGAAAAAAAGAGATAAAAGTTGATGATAAATAATACATGTGGCTTCTTTTTTTTTGTAGGACTATGTAACACTGGTTCGTGAACTGTCACAACTACGCGAACAATTAACGGAAAAAGAAGATGAAGTCACCGAACTCAAAGCTGAACGGAACAATACACGCGTAAGTTGAATTCGTTTCGATATAATCTGTTTGTTGATGAATTTTTCTTGTTAGCTACTTCTTGAACATCTCGAACAACTTGTTGCTCGACATGAAAGATCAATTCGAACAACAGTTATGCGACGACAAGCGCAAGGTGTTTCATCTGAAGTTGAAGTACTCAAAGCACTCAAATCGCTTTTTGAACATCATAAAGCCCTAGATGAAAAAGTACGCAAACATTGCTCATCAGTTTTCAAAATGTTTATCTTTATTTCCTTTTATAGGTTCGTGAACGACTCAAAGTTGAAATTGAAAAAAATACTCAACTTAAGGATGAACTTGAACGAACCAAAAATGAGGTAATCTAGATTGTTATAGTTGGATCTCTGGAGGAAAAGAAAACAATCAACCTTGACTCTAAATTTTCAGTGATTTCCTGCACTTTGGTTTTCTTTTAGCTTGCCGGTGTTCGTGAAACTCAACAAGCCAAAGTAATTGATGTTAATCAATTAAAAGTAAATTATTTTCCGTTCTCTAAGAGAGGATTCATGTCTTTTCTCTTTATATCAATTATAATTAGACGATGTCCAATGGTATAATCGATCCAGACTCTTTAACTGGTAAATTAATCGAAATGCAGGAACTGATGGACAGTCAATGTAATGAATTAATCTCTTGTCGAGCACGTGTTCATGAATTAACAAATCGAAATAAGGAGTTAGAAGAACGTGCGTGTTTATTTCAACGTGATATCGCACATTCACATGAACAGATCAATAAATATCAACGTGATTTAAAAGAATCTCAAGCACAAAAAGAAGATCAAGAAGAGCGAATATCCACATTGGAGAAACGCTATTTAAATATTCAAAAAGAAACAACACATCTCACAGAATTCAATAGTCGACTGGAAAATGAATTAGCAACAAAAGAAACGCAACTTATACATGTAAGTTCAATTTTATTCCGTCAGTATTCTTTTCTCACGAGTTGGCAGATAAGGACATAGACGACGCGATATGTCTGAGCCGTAGCAAACCTATTCAGAGCCGATCGTTTGTGAATTGATTGATTCACACTGATCAGATCGAAATGCGCTATGCTAATTGAAATTCTTTTGCTTGTGATACAGAAGGCGGAAATATTTCGGAAATACTGAAGTACATTCTCTTCCTTCCATTTCTAGGCCGAAGAAAAATATCAAGCTCTTCAAGAGAAATATGAGTTATTGGAACAAAAACTTCAATCCCAAAATGATACTGATCCCTCCAGTAAACAAAATGGCATTACAATTGCAACTAATCTCAATGGTTCATCGATTTCCACGTACTCCAACAGTCCAAATAACGATGATAAATTACATCAATTACAGAACGAATATGATGATCTTAAAATGGAGCTAACACGAGTAAGTTAAACATTCTTATCAAGTCTAATGAATTTTTCTTTGAATCGCTTCTAAAGGCTCGTCAACGTGAAAAAGTTACGGATGAACACAATACTCGTCTATCAGCAACTGTTGATAAATTATTAGCTGAGTCGAATGAACGTTTGCAAGCACATTTACACGAACGAATGCAAACATTGGAAGAAAAGAATCATCTTGTACAAGAGAGTGAAAAACTTAGAAAACAATTAGATGAAGTACAAACTGAACGAGTAATTTTACCGATTTTTCAATGTTTCTTGTATCGTATCTCGTGTGCTTTCAGACAAAACTGATAGAAGACGTCGAGAGACTCAAAGTCGAATTGGAAAATATTCGAAAAGAACTACAGCGTACTCAACAACAACAACAACACCAACAGCAGCAGCAGCAACAACAACAACAGCAACCTACAAAAACGTATGGAATTGACACTGTTGTTTACACGAATAAACATTCTTCTTTAGTGAATCTATTCCAATACCAACTCCTTCTTCAACGGATTTCATAACTAATGCAACTGATTCCTCTAACAGACGGTCACCATTGTCACGTGTCGTTAAAAACGCACCTTTAGTACCCGATCACATCTTTAAAGTAATTTCCTTTTTATTTCGATTGCAATTTGTTCAAAACTGACTTGTCTAGCCATCCGAAGCTGACTGGGACACGATTGATCAAGCACAAGTCATCAATGACGTTCGTCTAGCTTTTGAATCATCTGATGTGGAATTAACAACTGATGATGAGGATTCTCTGTATCAACATCATCATCCGGTGACAATAAATAACGGAACAATTCCTCATGAATCGACACATAATGATGCTCAAACATTAGCACTTGTTTTGCAAGAACAACTCGATGCTATTAATAATGAAATTCGAATGATACAAGCAGAAAAAGTCGATGCTGAACTGCGCGCTGAAGAATTAGAGTCACGCGTTGTAGGAAATTCTGTTTATCACTTACCAGACGACGATGAAGAAGAAGATGATGATGATGACATGAATCATCATCATCGACTTCCAACATCGGCATTGTCGAATGGAAATATCGGACATTATCAATCTCATTTATCACAACGTTATTTACGAAACTCACCACCAACTACTATGAATTCACATAGCAACTATGCTGGACGATTGCCATCATCAGGGCCACACTCTGCAAATGCAAAATCATATAAATTCAATACGGTAAAACGATTCGAATCAGAACGATATTTTAAAATATAACATTGTTTCGTATTATAGGCTCCACCTAGTATGACAACTTCGCATATGTACTCATATAATATCGGTTCTGATCCAACAAATGTCAATGTAAGTTCGAAATAAAAAAAACACGTGGAGAAAGACATTCTGTTCAATATTCTAGGAATACGACCATGCTCTACATCATCAATCTCCACTTTCTTTTCGAAATGACTACGGAACACCGACACGGTACTTAAAATGTGAATCCAGCCCGCCGATAACTCCTCCACGAGTGACAACTAACGTTCGAACAGCAACACCACATCACAATTATCATTCTTCATCAAGTATTCAAAATCAGTACCGAATGAGCACCAACCCATCGAGAACACATCCACAGCATGCTGACGATAGTACAAGGCATTATTAGTAAGTTCAACCTTAAACCTCGCTTCTCTACATTCATTTCAATTCCAATCTCTTTCAGTCCTAATCCGTCCATGGCTCAACCTACATCTCTGTCGTCGATCACTCATCAAGACTCTCCAAGTCCGATAAGCTCCCAAAATTCCACGTCAGGCGATGACAACAGCATTTATGCACGAAATCAACAACAGCAAAAGAAGAAGGGTATTCGGAATTCCCTTGGCCGGTTATTCACGCGAAAGCCTGGCTCAATGGATAATAAGCCAATGCATGAAAGTATCCATCAACCAGTATCATCCTATCAACAACATTATCCATCACCGTACACTACACGAGGTATGCTAAGCCGTAGAATATAGACCATATTTTAATCTCGTCTGCTTTAGCTTCATCCGTGCCTGCAGATAGTGCTGGGCATAATGACATGAATGATTCTACTACCGGTACATTGCTTAGTTTAGGAAAGACAGAATTCGATCGTCGAATAAAGAAAAAGTATGTTCTTATGACAAAATAGATTTTGAGAAGAAGAACTTTTGTATTCTTAGACAAGAATTACTTGAAGATGCTATTCAGAACAATCATCCATTTCCAACGTGGGACGGAGCCACCGTGGTCGCTTGGCTTGAAGTATGTTTTAACAAACGAAAATTGAGTTCATCTATTCATTCTTTCTCTCGAGTAGTTATGGGTCAAAATGCCAGCATGGTACGTTGCAGCATGTCGTGCCAATGTAAAATCAGGTGCAATTATGTCCGAATTAAATGAAGAAGAAATTCAACGTCAAATTGGTATTAGTAATCCACTACACCGACTTAAACTTAGATTAGCTATACAAGAAATATTGAATTTAACATCACCAGACGGACCACGAACATCCGTTACTGTAAATATTCTTTCATTCGTGATGATTTATCCTTCATTCATATTCGTTTTCTTTTTCAAGTCATTAGCATTCGGAGAAATGGATCATGAATGGATTGGAAATGAATGGTTGCCAAGTCTTGGCTTGCCGCAGTATCGATCCTATTTCATGGAATGTCTTGTAGACGCACGTATGCTTGAGCATCTAAGTAAAAAAGATTTAAGTAAACAATTGAAAATGGTTGACAGTTTCCATCGGTAAGCAGAGCACTGTGGAAAGAAGAAGAAGAACAACAACAACAAGTCTTGATCATTTTCTTTATTTAGAACAAGTTTTCATTATGGTATCATGGTACTAAAACGAGTTAATTATAATAAGAAAGAACTCGATCAAAGACGAGAGGAATCCCTGAATGAAAATCAAGATGTGCTGATGTGGACCAATGAACGAATTATTCAATGGTTATCAACTATTAATGGTTTGAAAGAATATGCAAATAATCTAACGGAAACTGGTATTCATGGCGGTTTAATTGCACTGGATGAGACATTCGATTATAATACATTAGCATTAGCATTGCAAATACCCAGTCAACAAGCTATGGTATATGAGAATGAATTTGAACTTTTTTCTCTCATTGATTTGTTTATTTTAGACGCGTCAGATTCTAGAACGAGAGTTTCGCCTACTACTTGCTAATGGCACAGATCGGAAGATGGATGAAGTAAGTCGAAATAGTACTGAATTGAATGAATAATATTTGGATCTTTTCAGCTTGATAGACAGTCATGACGGAGGGGTAAATGAAATAATGTTGTGTGTAATTCTTTCTTCGTAGTTAGAAAGTATCTGTATACTATTGTTAGCTTTACATTCGTAAAAGAACTAAACTAATTTCGTGTCTAGTGAAGAAGATTATGTTATAAAATCGATTTTCTTCTATTTAGAACGATCAAACAAAAATCAAACGTCATCCATCCCTATTCTCTCGAAAACTTAAATCGAAAATAACTAATGGTGATACCGTACATCCAAATGGAAATGATTCGTCTCATACAACAACAGTAGATGAGATCTAATAGTCATATGTCGACATTTAATTACTCGAATCAGCAAAGTATTGGTTCATATGCATGTATTTTCTCTCATGACATCGAAAATCTCGATTTTTCTGTTTTGCTTGGACATATATATTTGTGTGTGTGTGCGCGCCGTCGTTTCTTTTGTTTCCTTCTTGTGTGTACCCGCGCGATCATTGTCATATATACATATACATATATATATCTATTTTTTTGTTTTTGTTGTTAATGAACAACACACACATATACACACTGATGCAAAAGATGATTCTTGTCCGTTTCGATTTTTTGTTTTATACCCAAAATCAACTTTCGTTTTCTTTTTCTACGTCGAGCAGCTATGCAATAAAAAGAAACGTAACAAATTCGTTGTTATTCTTGTTTTTGTAAATCGATGAGTGCCGGCACACACAGTAGATACGTAGCTGCAATGTTTTGTTTATTTGTTTTCTTCTCTTTCGTCATGATATTGAGTTAAGTACTTTCCACCGAACGCACCTCCCTATTGCTCACATATATGTCGTGTGTGTTTCCTTTTGTGCAACTGATAGAATCATGAATCATCATTATAAATGCGCAGCGATTCATTTTCTTTTTTCGTCTTTGTATATGATATCCTTCTCTTTCTATTTCAACACTCGTTTTCAAAATTCTCTATCGCCTCCTATTTATTACTGAATTGATTCTCTTTTTTCGTCTGGTTTGTGTGTCGTTTTTCTTTCTCTTCTGACTTACATGCGCTTTGGGTTCTTTGTTTTCCCATGCAGATTAATGTAAGTCGCGCACAGAAATATTTTCCTGTCTTTTCTATGTTTCGAAACATGATGTGAAGCAAGCTTTGTTTTCTGGATGTTTGTTGTGTCAATTGTTGTATGCGTGTGTTTTTTTCTATGTTGCTCTAATTGTTTTTTTTTGAGAGCATAATTTGAGTTGAAATGAAAATTCCCACTATAACAATTTTCTTGATGATTATCATTTGATTTTAATGATGATATATATAACATTGACTTCCTTTGTGTACAGTCAGCAAACATATTGAGCAATCACTAAAATGACCGATAGGTTATTTTCGCTATAATCTTCTTCCATTCATTGATTGGTTACACGGTTTAATAGCCAATATGGTTTCATTGTTTAGTCTGAGAAGTTATTCTCAAAAAGATAGACCAAATGGTAACGCACAAAATTCATCTGCTCGTGAATTATGTGCATGGAAACATTGAATTTTGCTTTAATACGACTACGAATCCATTTGGTAAAATCATCTGCGATATGCATTTAACAGTATGACTCGTTACTTTGTGTAACGCTCACTTCAACTAATTACTTTGATCTTTGCTCGAATAAAATCGATTACATCATTCTATTTAGTTTCTTATCCTTTCTATAGGTCATTCATCTAATTATATTCCTTTGAGGAATTCATTTATTTAAAAAACCAACAGTATGTTTCTATATATAAAAAAGAACGTTATACAAATGACACATCAGCTGAAACACACGATGTACTCAACCGTTTGGGTGAATCATCATCAGAAGGTGACATCATCTGATGAGCTCGAAATTCATGTATACGATATTGTTCAACTAGTTGATTGGCCGTAATGATTGTCGTTTCCATTGAAAGAGGATTTTCGGACACATCCGAACTACCTGAATAGCCTTCATCATCACGAATCGGACTTGACGAAGATGATTTTTGCACGATGTATATAGCTGTACTTATTGGTGATGGAGATAATTGATGATCGTCGTGTACTTTCAGTTTGGATAAAGTTGAAATTGCATCATATTCTAAAGAAGACAAAGAAAACGTTCATGATGTAAGAGAAAAGCTGACAGAAGAAGAGATTATGCTTTTTTCTAGTTCAGTGAATTGAAATGCACTACTTACTATTATGAACATTTTCTTCACTGTTGGATAAAGTTGATGACGATTTCTAGAAAGATTAGAGAAGAAAAGGATAAACCGGAAGGATTATAAATGAAGGGCAAACCTGTTTTTTATATCTTTGTCTTCGAATGATCATCGCTGCACAAATAATTAATAAAAGAATTAGAAATATACTGAGGATGATCGGTATAATAATCATCCATTGTGATTGGACTAAATTCGAGAAGATCGTTTCATTGGAATCCGATGTTAATTCTAATAGAAAAGTATCTTCATAATTGTATTTCTGATTGAGTTGAACCGAGAAAAGATATTTTCCTTGAACGGGTAAGGAGAGTTTCTTCAATGTACAATTAGATAATAATTGAAAGTAACTATAAACCATTGTTTGATAATGACAATATGTCGAATTGAATAAATCGATGGACGAGAATTCTCTTCGATTTAATCGTAACTTTTTCAATGATAAAAATGGAATATGACCATATTCATCGAGAATTCGAATGGTTAACATTGCCTTCATTGTTTTATTAAATTGATCAACAGCTTGGAGATTCAAGCGATAAATACTCTGTTCTTCTCGATCGAACATTGTTGATGTGTATAAATCTCCTGTGCGAGATTGAATAAAGAAGTTTTTTGTATCGTCGATTGAATAGACCATTGTTTGACAGAATTGATTCGTCAATCGAGGTAATATTAATGTTCGATTAGGAAGATTTTCTTTGATATCAATGATGTAATGCGTTTGATTGAACTGACAAAGATTTTCATTGGGTTTTAAATGAAACTCGTACGTTCGATTTGTCCACAAAGGTGGTTGGTCATTGTCACATGAATATAATGATAAATAATAATGGTCGTTCTTCAATAAATGAGGATTGTTTCTTGTTGATAGAATATAAATCGATTCGGTGATCAAACCATTTTTACTCTGACGAACGAATTGAAGCTGAAAATGTTGAGTATCATTAATAAATAATGTTAAATTATTTGTTGACTCATCTAAATCTTTAATATTGATCGTTGCTAATGGTGTTGAATTGCTATTTAAATCATATTTGATGACGTTTCCTTCAGTTAAAACCGATGGATAAAACATGACATTTATATCTGGCGGATTGTCATTCGTATTGAGAACATGGATAACAATTTCGCTGAACGATGGAGCAACTGTCGATGACAATGCCCGCGCTTCGATGGTTAATTTGTAAATTGAAATTGTTTCATAATCAAGCGTATTCGATAGAGTTAAAATTCCAGTTGTTGAGTTAAGATAGAATGTTTTATTTATATCACCATACAATTCATAGCGAATTGATAGTGACGAGGAAGAGGTAGCTTGAATCGTACCGATTTTAGTATTGATTGGTGCAGATTCCGAAACGAAGAATTCGTAGGAATCACGCTCGAAGAAAAGAAATATTCCATTCGTTGAGGAAATAAATAAAAACAAATAGAAGGGAATCATCTAAAATAATGAAGCAAATAGTTCATCTGAGTCTTTGAACGTACAATGTCTACAGGAGGCTTAGTTATCTGTTGTATGATTGATTAGCACCTTACTCCACTTGCTTCAACTTAATGATGAAGTAGACCTTGTTTTTTTTCTTTACTCGTTCAACAGATCTACATTCACTT